AGACAGAACTTTCTTTTGAAAAGACTGAATGCGTGAAACGAACGGAAATCATCACGTGTGACTGGACTTCAGTAGGAAAACCTCCACAAGTCTGAAGTTACAATTTTATAGCAGAAAACCCAAATAATGATGTTTTGTGTCAAAATAGAAACTCATCACTGAAGTCTGGCTGAAGCTGCTTTGTGACTTGAAGAGACGTTTATTGACCAAAACAAATATTTTTAAGTAAGTTTCATGATTGAATTTTACGTTTTGGTCGCACATTAAAACCTTGTATTTAAATATGCGTCTTTAAGCCAGTAACATTTAAGGAGATCTATTGGCAGAAACGGAATAAAATAATAAGTCTGTTTTTTATTGAATAATCACCTGAAAATAAGAATAGTTTTGTTTTCATTAGCATAGCGTTGTTTGTATCTACATACGGAGCGGCCGCCATCTTTCTACAGAAGCCCAGAAGGGACAAACCAAACACTCCAGAGAGACGTTTGACGCCTGACACACAAGAAGTTTCAGTTAGTTGCAATCTGCAGCGTCACCACTAGATGTCACCGGATGGAACATGCAGCACCTTTAAAGACACGAATCACGAATCTTAAACGTGACGAAGAAGCTTCTGAATGAACTCCAGCTGCTTTAGACGGGAATTTAAAAGAGAAATGTAAGGGCTTTTTATTTCTGCAAGACTAAAACTTTCATCTGTATTTTCCTTCCTGCAGCTCAAATCCCCCCCCCCCCATGTCCTTCTGTTGCTTCTTTTGTCTTTTGACTGCTGGTCACCCCATTTAACACGGGGCAGATAGCATCAGGAGGACAGAGATTGGGTTCCCCGGCAGCTCCATTGTTGGGGGTAGGAAGGGGGAGGAGGGGTTCTTGCGTTACAGTCGGACTCGTTTAACTCGCAGGCCTCTTTTAGGAAATGAACAAATTGCTGCTGAAAGTCTGTCTTTGTTGTTTGGGGGGGCTGATCTCAGAACAGCCGACAACAAACAACCCGAGAGAGAAAATGAGAGCGAGGCCGACCTGAGATCAGCTGATAGCTCCAGAGTCTGAAGCTTAAACTGATGGAGAGTCGGATGTTAATATGTTTATTATGTTAAACATGCAGCTGGTTTTATTCTTTAGGTTAGTGCCAAAAAATAAAAATAGAAATTGAAAGTGTTTCTTTTTCCCCCCTTATTTTCAAACATAACAATAAACGTCTCCAATAGAAACCTGCTTTGGGGTTTTTTGAAAGCTGATATCTAAATACTTATGATTGTTATCAGTTACTTACACACGATTCTGTTGACAAATTTAGTTTGGTGTTAAAAAAAATTCTCAAAATCGTAGGAGTTTTTAAAACTGGATTTAGAGGAAAACTGAACAATAACACCAAAAGATATTTATTTCTTACTTTGGTGTGTTTTCATGGACACTGGATTTAAAAGCTGTTTGTGACTCATTTTGGTCGTTAAAATCAGATTTTCAGGCCTGAAACAGAAGCCAACATTCAGCCATCTTCTACATTTGTTTTTTAAGATATGAAATATCAATATCATGAGGTTATATTACTAATTCATGTCATTAAATTTCAGCTTTTGGAGTTTTAAGAGTCCGTGTTTGTGGATTTAGATCATTGTTGGACTCTGAAAACCTGGTTTGGGTTTTAAAGATACTTTAAAATATAATTAACAAAAACATGAACATTTATTTTTTAATTAGTTTTTAGAGCAGACGATGAACGTGAATCACTCAAAAGTATTTCATTGTTTGCCACAAAATGTTAAATATTGAAATATATGAATTTCAAACTTTTAAAAGCTGAAGTTCAACATTAGTTGTGATTTGATGCCAAAATCATTCAAATGAAACATGTCGGGATGTTTTATGGAAAAAAACTCTTATTTTGTATATTTAAGAGATGTTCTGTAAAATGTAAAATATTCAAAAATAGTGAAGTTGTTGTAAAATAATGAAATACATTTGTTAGCAGCAGGTTTGACCTTTGACCTGCAGACTGACTCAAACAAATCCATTTTAACAAAAACAAAATGACCTGAATACATAAAAATGGTCACGTTCACGTGGTCACGAACAGAGAATAACGAGCTTTAATTCAAACTAAAACAAACAGAAACGTTCACTAGACGTTTGTGAGGATCAGCTTCAAACAGCAGCATGTGATCGTTATGCGGTCACAGTCACCCCGAAACACGCAGGAGGACCTCAGGTGAGGAGGAGGAAGATGAAGAGGAAGATGAAGAGGAAGAGGAAGAGGAGCAGCGTCTGTCTGCACCATCTGATTTTAATAAATGTTTCTTTAAAGCTGCAAGTTTAAAGGGTTAATTTAACCTGATTATTTTTATGTTTGAATGTGTAAAATACATATATATATAAATATATATATACAATAAATACTTTATATATATATATATTTATATATAGTATTTATATTGTAGCGACCCTGTACAGTAACACAGAACGTTGAATGTGCAGAAAATAAACCTGAGAAGAGAAAGAATACAAAATAAAAACTCAAATTCTGATGTAAATGTGACTTTCCTCAGAACTAAATGTTGAGTCAGCAGATTTAAGGAAGAAATAATTAGATCAGATTTGATCTGTAAACAAAGGAGTGAAAAGTTAATGAGGCAAAACAACTCAAATGAACCGAGAAGATCAAATAAAATATTCTCATTTATAGAATGAAAATATGAAGATCAATGCAGAACAAGAATCTGCATGTTTGAAAGAATGAAGTTTAGTTTCAAGGTGAAAAATCAAAGAAAACACGCAGAGATCGAAGGAGCCGACAACGAAGCGAACAGCTGATCCTCAAACAGGAAGTCTCTTCTACAAACATGTTTCATCTTTAAAGAACCAACAAACATCACGGAAACACCGGAGCGACACCCAGAACCAGGATCAGAACCAGGACCAGGTCTAAATCAGACCTCTACCGGAGGAAACTGATCTGATGACCGAAGGAACAAAAATCTGCTTTTTATGACAAATGTTTATGAGTTTGATCTGATAATTCAAACGAGGAAACACAGAGCAGCGACATTTAAAGTGAAGCAGAAGAAGAAGACAAACACACACACAGAGAAATATCAGATGTTTGAATTTAGAGATGAAAGGACACACACACACACACACACACAAGCTGGAGCTGAAACAAAAACACACCACGTGACCAAAAGTGTCCAGTTTTCTGCAAGAAATCTGCAAGTTTACAGAATTTCAGTTGATGAGATTTTAAAAACCTCTGAAACCAAATCAGCTGTTTAACGTGACGACAGTCTGCGGGAGTCCCGCACAGGAAACCCCGCACAGAGCCGCAGGCCGCAGCTTTGCCTGCATAGAGGACCGGATGTCTCTCAGTCCTGAACGACCTGCTCGCATCTTTTTTCACCCAAACGCGTAAATCTGTGTGCGCAAAAAGCTGCTGCGCATTTTTCCACCAGCGCGCGTGCGAAAACATCAACAACAACAAGCAAAAGAACCCAAAACACAAACAGAGAGTCCGGTTCTGTGTCTGGTGATTTAAAGTGCTCGTTCTTCTGCAGAGGCGCGTTCACAAAACACACAATGTAAGCTTCAATCCAGAGAAGAAGAATAAATTAAACTCTGAAACTTCAAAATAAAGATTTTAAAAACTGTAACTAACTGTCGGTGTGTGTTGTGTTCAAGTACCTGGTGATAAAAACAGACAACACGGACGGCAGGAGTGAAAGAAGACAAAAGCATCTGCGTTAGTTATGAATGTAACCTATTCTTTTATTTGTATTTTTTTATGATTAAAACATTTTTTTCTCTTTTTTTAACTTCTGTAAGCGACAAACACGGGAATAAGAATAAGACCACAATAGTATCACAACCATGAAAATTTGTTTTTAGAGACGACAGTAAAGGACAATCATTCCAAGTATTATTAGATAATGAGGCGCTTCTTCTTCGGGGGCTCTTTACATTGTTCTTCCTTTTGGAAAAGAAGGAAAACCCCAAAAAATTCAAATTACAAATAGACATTTTCTCTCTCTTTTACTAATCATAGAAATAAAAGAAGAAGAAGAAGAAGAAGAACAGGTGTGAAGGTCGCTGTTAGCGGCGATCACGTTTACAGTCAGAAGCACGTGACAGGCTGCACCGCGGAAAATATCCAACAAAACGAGACGTTTGCGTCCAAAACAGAATTCATGTTAAATTCACGCTGTTTTCCAACGCACCTAAATGTTTCATCTAAAATAAAAACGAGAAGGTTTTAAGGCGAAGAGCCTCCAGCGGCACCAGCACACATTCTCCTCTCACATTCCTACTTTAATTAAGAAACGAAGAAGTGAAGCTCGTTTAAATGGACATTTTCTGAAGCTGCGCGAGTTCTACTACAACAGAGTCTTTGGTCTCTAAACGTACATGAAGAGTCTAAACTGCGGGATGAAGAGCAGCCGCGCGTGTTCACGGCGGGAGTCGTTAAACAAACACATTTCAATGCTGCAAAAAAAAACAATGTGTTTAAATGTAGTCAAATAAAATAATTCTTCTGACCCGCACGAGACCTGATAATACTGCAAACATGCGGCCACAAAAACCGGCTAGAAATATTATTATTATTATTATTATTTTAACCTTTTTTTTTAAATCTCAAAATTAGATGAAACTATTTTAAATACACATTCTATGAAAAGTAAAGCCTCCGACAACAAGAACAGAAACAGCCTCCCAGCATCCTCTCGGTTTTTTAGCTCAGGTCACATTGCACGTCGCTGACAGTTTTATACAGACAAACCCGACACGTATAGGAACAGACGGTATGTACACAGAAAGTAGACCTGCAGGAGAAGAAGAAGATAATAATAATAATATTAAAAAATACCTGGAAACGTCAGCGCTGCTTTCTGTGAGTTTCTCTGCTGCTCTTTTTTGTTTCTCCTCTTTTTTTCTATAGTAGGTAGTTTATAATAATTTTGTAATTGTTTTTACAATGTAAATGTTCAGTGTAAAATGTTCCAACTTACAGTTCCAGTCATTTTACGGGTTTTCATGGATGGACGGAGGGTGAGGGTGAGGATGTTAGTGGATCAGCGGGTTGGAGGTCGGACCCTGAGTTTGATGCGTAAAATAGTCAGACAAACCTCCGGAGAGTCCCGAGGAGAAGGCCGGCAGAGAGCCGGACAGAGTCTGCCTCAGAGAGTCACACTGCAGCGAGGAGGACGGAGCCTGCGGGGAATTGGAGGCCGAAGCCCGGGCGGCCTGCAAGGAGCCGACGCCGGACTGCGCGGTCATGGACGGGTGCGGCACATGGGGGAAAAAGTAACTGGTCTGCCCGGCCAGTAGGTTGACCGAGCACGGGTTGAGGGAGTACGTGGCCCCGGAGCAAGGCACGGAGAGGCCGCACGGCACCGCAGAGGCCGCCAGGGCCGCTGCCGTCAGGTGGTGCGTTGCGTAGGGGAGATCCCCGCCGACCAGCCGGTCCATGCTGATCCCGTTGGAGGACGGGAACGACGAGTGGCTGTTGCTCATGTTCTGCGTGAGCATGGTGCTGTAGGACATGGGGTGACCCGGGTAGCCCGAGGAGGTCCCGTTGTAGCCCAGGGCGCTGCCGGCCCGCGGGTGGTGCAGGGACAGAAAGGGGGACATGGGCCAGTACAGGGATCCGGCGCGGTCCATAAAGGTCAGCCCGGAGGTCAGCCGCGCGCCCCGCTTAAAGGCCAGCTTGGCCCGGGACGTGGTGGAGCGCCGCCGCAGCTTCCCGGTGGTGCCGCCGATGAAGACGTCGTCGCTGCTCGGGTCCAGCATCCAGTAGTTCCCTTTGCCCGGGTCGTCGTAGTGCCGCGGCACCTTGACGAAGCACTTATTCAGGCTGAGGTTGTGCCGGATGGAGTTCTGCCAGCCCTGCTTGTTCTCCCGGTAGTACGGGAAGTTCTTCATGATGAACTCGTAGATGCCGTTCAGGGTGAGCCTCTTCTCCGGACTCTGCCGGATGGCCATCATGATGAGCGCGTTGTAGCTGAACGGAGGTTTTTCGTACTTGCCGCTCTTCTTCTCGCCGTCTTTCCCTCCGGCGTCCCCGTCCTTCCCCTCCTTCTTCTCCTCCGACTTCTCCTTCTCGTCCGGGCAGCTCTCCTGGCTCGAGGAGTCACTTTTAGGATCCGCTTTGCCGTCCTGCTGCGCGGCCGGGAGAGGAGCCTTCTGCTCGGCTTCGTCCGCGCCGCCGCCGCCGGGCCGGTGGATGTGGTGGAGGTGGTGGTTCTGGTGGTGCTGGTGCTGGTTCTGGTGGTTGTTGTTGTCGCTTTGCACGGCCTCCGGCACCAAACTGTTTATACTGAACGACGATTTAGGAATCATTTTCACCTCTTTGCGCTCTCCCATATCCAACATCACCGGGCAATGAGGGGGGAAAATGGCAACGAGCAGAAGCGACTAACACAGCTGGGTCTCAATCTGTACGGTCTGCGCCCGCGAACCAGGACGGGGAGGAAGGAAGGGGGAACGACAGGAAGAAAGAAAGTATAGCCCAACAAACTATTTCATGTTCGGTTTGGGGAGAAAAGAGGAAACACAACACACACACACACAACACACATGTACACACACATCGATAGGAGACAGATAGCTGCAATTAATTAAGGAGCCGCAGCCACTAAAGCGAGTCAAAAACATTGGTTGGACCTTTCCAGTCCTCAGCCAACCAGGGGGACATTAGTATTAAATATTAAGGCATCCTCTGCGCTCTCAGCCAATCAGGGCGCTCAGGGAAACACACACATCCACCAAAGCCGAGCACGCTGCAAAAAGTGCCCGACAAGAGGAGGCTCTTTTTTAATGTCTAATGGAGTCTAAAAAAAAATAATAACTTGATGAAAATAAACCGGAAAATCTGTCAGATCGGATTTTTATTTTTCTCCAAAGCGAAACGTTTTTTTGTTTCATTTTCTATCTAAAAACGTGAGTCTCCAGCTCACATTCAGTCTCATTTAAAAGCACAAACTCTTAATTTGTTAAATAAATTCAACGTTATTTAAAAATATAGAATTTTCTATCATAATTCTGTATTTTTTTCGGATCTTTTCTGGACCAAAAAAAGAGACTTGCAGCTCGTTTTACGCACAGTCTCTCACCAACACGGATACTTTTTGCAGCGTAGAAAACAAACCCACCCTATCAACACTCGCCTCACCCCTCCCTTTCTCCCCTCTCCCATTCTCTCCCCCACCTAAACTAAACCCGTCGCTGGAAAACACACACCGTGCTTGCGTATACACCCAAATCCCCGCCGCTCCTCATATTTACACTCCTCCGATTCAAATATTTTCCCCTTCGCCGTGTTCCAAACTGTTTACATCCAAACCGGAGGGAACATAAACAGAGAGGGGATCCGGAGGGCACGCGGACACGGTCAGGGCACGCGGAGGTGATTTGTGTGTCAGACCGATCGGCTGCTCCTCCAGAGCCGCGTAAAACACGCGCCGGAGAGCCGGAAACACGGCGACTCATGTCGGGGAGTTTCGACGGTTTCCTCCCGGCGGATTCACGGTGGAGCAGAATCTCACTTGAACACAAAGTGGAGAGCTGCAGGCCGCGCGAGGACACTTTAAAAACAGAAACGAAACATGTTTTATTACTGATGTTTAAGAAAACATGAAATACTATTTATAACCTCTGAAGGATGATTTATTTTATATTTACAACTGGATTTTTTTCACTTTTTCTATTTTGGAGAAACATTTTGACACATTTCATCTTTAAATTCAAATACTGTGTCTGCTAGTACTACAGTACTACTGGTACCACCACCACTACCAGTAAAAGTACACCACCACCACTCCCTCCTGTACTACTGCCATACACACTGAGGTCACATATTCTGATTCATATTCTCACATTTATTCTAAAAGCTGATTTATAACACAATAATTATTTAAACTGTTTTTATTTGTTTCCTGTTTTTTCTGCAGTGAAACAAAAATATATTTAGAAGTTTAAACACAAAAACATTTAACCGAATAAATAAATAATATGTGAATAGTTTCAACAGAAAGGTAAACTGGATTATTGGAGTGAGACTCTAATAATACTATCAGAGTACGATGAGTGCTGCTGCTAGTACTCCACTATGGTAGTACACCACTAGTACTAGTACTATAAACTAGAGCATATTTCCTGCTGTTCAAAGACATATCAGAATACTAGAATTAGTATTAATTGGCACCAACGGTATTAGTACATAGAAATGATATTTTACCACGTGGCCACGAGGGCCGTAAACACGTGACTGTAAATAAATAAAAACATTCTCCTCAAAATGTCTCACACATATTTTGTTTATTATGACGGATGTTAAAGGTTTTATATTCAGCCTCTGGTATTACTATTACTACTACTACTACTACTACTAATGAATACTACAGTTACTAGTGCAGTACAGTTCCTGCTGCAAAAGATAAAATGTGAAGTATGAGTACAATACTGTTGTACTGCCGGGTGTTAGTACTATCACTAGTATTTATTACTGCTATAAATGGTCCTGCGTGTATAAACAGACATGAAACTCGGTCCGTCCACCTTAAATCGTTAAAGCTGAATGTAAACGGCTCTTTGACTCTTTTAATAAGCGGTTTGAACTCTTTGTGTGTCTCCAGAATCCAAAGATTCGCTGCAGTTCATTACACTAAACATGAAGTAAAGGTACGAATGTATTTGATTTTTAATCTCCGGATGAACATGTTTCCTGTCGGAGGAGCAGCCGGAGGTCGGAGACCCGGAGCCGGTTTTTACGCCCCGGGACACCGACGTGTCACTGAGCCGTTGATGATAAATAATAAAATGAATATAAAATAAATATAATAATGAGACGGATGGAGGTGGAGCCAGAAACCAAATACATGAAAACAATAAACATAGTATAATGGTTTTATTTCAGTTTGGAGTTTTTTTTAAAGCTGATTGAAGATGAAAAGTATTAGTTTGAATGTTTTAATATTTTTTCTTTATGATTCTTTTCCGTTTTATTTGTTGTTGATATTTTTGGACTAAAAGTGGAGTTTGTAAAATGATTACTTGTGTCGTTATCTTCGTGGTATTTTCACATTAATAACAGGGGAGAGGTGGGCTGCTTGTTTAAACTGTTCGTTTTATTATGAGGCTCACAAAACTTTTATGAAATAAACTAAAAGATAACTAAACGGACGACGAACGTGGCTTTCCCGGAGCTTTCAGTCACAGCAGACTGTCATCTTAAAGTTCAAGAATGAAGCAGAAGAAAATAATAAATGTATAAAGAACTAAATAAGTAATAATAATAACAGCAAATATTACCTCCACGCGGTGCATTTTCTTGCGTAAAAACGCGTCACGAATCTATTTCCAGGACTAATGTTCGTCATGCTTTTATTTTGATGGGGTAGTTTAACTTGCTGTTTGTTTGTCAGCGTCTCTGTGACTTACTGAAGTAAACAAACTGTTTGTTTGTTTGTTCACAGAAGCTGAAGATGTGAGCAGAGTTTGGACCGTGTGTTTGTGTGTCTCTCTGTGTCTGTGTGTTGTGTGTGTGTCTGTCTGTGTGTGTGTGTGTGGCTGTCTCTCTGTGTGTGTTTGTGTGTCTGTGTGTGTGTCTGTGTGTGTGGTGCGTGTGTCTGTGTGTGTGTCTGTGTGTGTGTGAGTCTGTGTGTGTGTGAGGACTCTGCAATAATCTGTTTGGATGCTGCAGCATCCAAACAGGTGTTTTTAACGTTTGCTTCACCTGCAGCTTCGTCATGAATCTGAAATTGTTTCCGGTTTGAACCGTAAAAAATAAAAGGTGGAAGAGAAGCGAAGAGAAGAGAAGCGAATAAAGGGTGGAAGAGAAGAGAGGAGAAGAGAAGAAAAGAGAAGAAGAGAAGTTACTTCTGTTGGTTGTTGGAAAAGACAAATGTAGATTTTAAAAAGCAATGTGTAAAAAAAATAACATTTTCTTTGGAATGGGACAAATGAAAACAGACTCAGTTGATTTTCTTCTGGATTCTGAAAGAGATGAATGAGTTCAGTGTGAGGAGGTTTCCTCTTCTGTTGGCCGTCGAGCCTCCAAAGCAGACTCCGTTCTCTTTGTTCTGAATTTAAGAACAGACCAACAAGTGAGATGTCTAATGAAAGCAGACTCAGTCCATTAAACCTGCAGTGTGATGAGGACAACGTGGAAGTTAAACCAGACTCACGTCGTTTCCTTCTGAATTTAAGAACACAATCTAAGACATTTAGAGATAAAGATCTGCAGATAAACAAGCACGTTCTGAAATAAACAGTAAAGCGATAAAAGAGGAGAACAATAAGAGTCAGTTCTTCAGAAACATTAAAGATCTCTTCATATATGTATATATGTATATATATATATATATATATATATATATATATATATATATATATATAAACCGATCAGAGAGAAAGGAACATGAAGGTGACCTCTGACCTCCGTCAGAAACAAAGATTCTATTTTCACAGATTTTATTGAAACATCTGTTTTCATCTTTTTATTTGTTGATCTTGTGAGTTCTAAAAACCGACTGGAGATAATTTGATCTTCTGTGTTTCAGAGAAAAGTCTTTTTAAAGGTTTTAAATTTCTGATTGAAATGTTTGATCCAGATGTGGAACAGGCGGCTGGAACATCTGCTGTTTTTCATTCAATCAATGAAGCTGATCAGAAGAGTCTCAAAGGGGTTCTAGACGTTCTCCAAGGGGTATTTAAGGGTTCTAAAGGAGGTGCCACTTGGTCTTGAATGGTTCGTCCAGGGGTTTTAAGGGTACTTTAAGGGTGCTCTGGGTAATTAAGGGGATTCATGTGATGCCTTCAATGGTTCTGTGCCGTTTGTTTGTTTGGGTTCTTGAGGATGTTCCACTGGGTCTTTACAAGGTTTGGGAAAAGGTTCCTAAAATGTTTTAGGGGGCCTTTGAGTTGTTCATGGAGTTCTTCAGGGGGATTCAAGGGTTGAGGGTGTTTCAGGGTTCCTTAAAAGGGAAATCTATTAAGATGCTCCTGTGGTTCTTATCAGGGTTCCAGCAGCAGTTTCTTTGGGTTCTGAAGTATGAGTTTTAAGAATACTTTGTGGCCTCTTAAAGGAGATGTTGTGGTTCTTAAACAGGTTCTGGAAGCCCTTAAGCCTTATGGGGTTTCTTAGATGTGTAAGAGGGTTTCAGAGTAAAGTGGAGTTTAAGTGGAGTTCATAATGGGGTTCTAGAAGTTATTAAGGGGTTTCAGGGGTATTCACAGAGTGAGATTGGGTTTCCTAGAGTCCTGAGTGGGTTCCAGGGGTTTTAAGGAAGTTTAATGTCATTAAGGGAGTTCCTTTTGTACTTAAAGTGGTTCTGGCAGCCCTTAAGAGGTTCCTTAGGTTTGTAAGAGCTAGGGTTAAAGAGTAAAGTGGAGTTCATAAGGGGTTTTTAAAAGTCCATAAGGGGTTTCAGGGGTATTCACAGGCTGAGAATGTGGTTCCAAGAGTCCTGAGTGAGTTCCAGGGGTTTTAAGGATGTTTAATGTCATTAAGGAGGTTCCTGTAGTTCTTTAAGGGGTTCCAGCAGTATTTCAGGCATGTTAAGGGGTTCTGTTGGTTCTTAGGAAGCATTGTAAGGTCTTCCAGGGGATTTAAAGGGTCCATAATGACTTCCAGGGTTTATTATTTCAAGGAGGTTCCAGGAGTTCTTAAAAGGATTTGGTGGTTATTCAGGGAGATCTTGGGGTGTCTGTGGGGTTCTAATGGGGCTTCAGGGATTTAAGGACTCTTTAAGATGAACTGCAGGTTTCTAAATGGTGCTTCGGGGCTACGTTCTATCGTGTTCGTTGTCTGAACCTGAACAGAACCTTGTTGATCCAGTTCAGTTCAGGAACCAGAACCTTCCTCCTGCTGTGACCTGTGACCTCCGTTCTGTCTGAGGAGCTGAAGGAGAAATGAATCATGAAGGTTGATCATCTGGAGGACGAGTGAGTCTACAAGAAACAGCCTCAGATTTATCATCATCATCGTTGTTGTTGTTACTACTATTATTGTTGTTGTTGTTATTATTGTTGTTGTTACTATTATTATTATTGTTGTTGTTGTTGTCATCATTGGCTTTAAGGCTTGAAGGGAAGTTGTGAGATAATAAATCAGATGACGAGCAGACATGGAGGAGGAGGAGAAGACATAAGGCGCCTCCCGGTGGCAGAAACAGGAACTACATCAACACAGATGTTTACATTCAGTCTGCTCGATTAATTTTAAACGTCGTTTGTTTCTCTGTCACGTGTTTCTGTGTCACGTGTTTCTGAAGAGTTTTTATTCAGTTTTATTTGATCTGGAGTAACAAAAACATTAAAAATTTTAAACTTATTTTCTGAATATTTGACACAAATTCAGCATTTGAGCCATTTTTCTATCAGAGTGGTATTTAAACATAAATGTACTAATATCAGTAAATATTAAATTAAATACACGTTTTGTGTGTTTGTGAATAAACCATCTGATCAGAAGCGTTCAAGCTTTATTTGATCTATAATAAAGCTTTATAAAAACCTTTTATAATGTTATTTATAATGTTATTGGGCGATTGTGGCTTAGGGCCGTCTTTCAATCAGAGGGTCGGCGGTTCGAACTCCGGCTCCGCTAGTCGCATGTCGATGTGTCCTTGAGCAAGACACTTAACCCCATAATTGCTCCCGTAGTTGTGCCTACGGTGTAGAATTGTGATAGAATCTGAATTGTAAGTCGCTTTGGATAAAAGCATCTGCTAAATGACTGTAATGTAATGTTATTTCATATAATAAACATTATTTCTGTTGAAGCTGCCTTATGTATTCATCATGAAAGATTATTTCATGATGAATGCATGATGAATACATATATATTGAAACGTTATTTAAATATATCAAAGTTTACTGAAATGATCAGGAAAAAAAACTGTAAGTCATCTCATACTAATTTAAATAAGAAAACGTGTCTTTACACAGTTAAAGAACAAATAATGCTGACTCAATTTTTATTCACCGTTTCATCCCTTTATGTTATGACGTCATGTTTTGTGGCCTAAAAACATTCACATTTAAACATATTGACACGAAATAAAATCAGAATCAGCATTTTAAAAACAGAGTATAATCTCAGGTTGGTCAAATGTTTTTAATATTTGGCTGCTTCAATAAACAACTTTTAATTTTGAAAATTCAATTAGCAAAATATTTTCTTTGAAGGAGAAACCCCCCCCCCAAAAAATATGTATTCTCTGCAACTGACAGAATACTCTATAAATACATAAATAAATATATAAATGAGTAAATATATAAATAAATAAGTATCTGCAGCAGAAAGCAAATAAAAACAGACTTTACAATTTATTTGTCCAGTGAAACATGGAAACATGGAGCTGGTTATTGAACTGGTACTTTACTGCTTGGGCAATCCTGTGTATTGCTGCCACCGTTGTATCGAGCGATGGATCTGTCTTATCTTTTTATTCTTGGTTGGACTGGTTGAACTGGTTATTGAACTGGTTTGTATCAGACAGGTTGGTTTCGGACCTCCCGCTGATTTCTTTTCTGTCGTGTGAGCTGAATGTTGAAGCGGGAATCAGACGGAGGCCCAGAGGGACAAAAAAAAGTCCGACACACCGGAAACAATGAAGCTGATGGAGACACAAAATATGTATTAATAATGTCGAATTAAAGATCTAAAGCTCTTTAATTTCACCTTTAAATTACAATAAGAGTCGGAGGAGATTTCAGACTTTTTATATCACTAAAGATAAAAAAAAAAATCCTGAAGTATCTGATTAAACTCATTAATTTAATAAAAAACAAATGTTTTAGAGGCTTTTAATGTGTAAAAAAAACTTTCTGGTGTAAAAACTACTCATTAATATTATTTTACTGTTTTATTATTTCACTATTTAGGGTTTGAATTCTATTTTTACTCATTTATTATTATTTATTATTAAAATAAAACGCTTTGCAATGAAAATGAAATACATATTGTGATAATAATATATATCAGCGGGTTTAATGGTTCATTCGATGTGCAGCGCTGCAAATAACCTTGTGAACCGGACGATCAGCGGCTGGAGACAAAGACTGAGACCGGGAGAGACGAGAGGAACCGGGTCATTAGTGCTCCGGCAGCGACACCGTGAGGCGGCGGGAGGAACTACATCGCTGTCTCAGTAGGATATACAGTACTACTACTAGTACTAATACTACACAATAAAAATACTATGTTAGAGTACAAGTACTACTACTAGATTGTGGAAATGCTCTGTTAAGAGTACAAGTACCAATAGTACACTGTGAAAATACTATGTTAGAGTACAAGTACCACCTTCACGTGTTTCACAGATTAAGAAAACAAATTAAGGACACAGAAAAACGATTCTTTTTTTCTTTTTTTTTCTCGGTTCTTTCGTCACAAACAAGAGAAAACTGTTAAAAACATCAAACTTTGAAATTGTATCACAGTTTTGTTTTTTGCCTCTCGGGGCTTCCGTACAATAAACATAGTGAGAGACAATAAAAATAAAAAGAAATGTGCTGCATCAGTCAAATAAAAGTATTAAAAACATGAACAATAGACGTGTTTTAAGGAGTCGGCTGTGGCTATCACCTGGAGGGAGAACGTACCAGCAGATGAAAACACACTCTTGATCTATTGATCCATAAACTGTCTATTGATCTATAAACTATTTATTGATCACAACAAGATCTCTGAGAGGAAGAAAAATAAAAACAGGAAGTCAACAAGGAAACGTGGATTCAATATTTAATCAAAAACATTCAGTGCAGTTAAATTAACTTAATGAGTTTAATATTAGTTTATTGTCTGAGAGAACTCAGTAATCAATACATCACGATGACGTCACATGTTTATGATTCATAAACTGTCTGAATGACGATGAGACTCCTCGTCTCCAACGATCGACTTATTGATCAGAATCAAAGCAGCCGGAGGATGTTTGTGTTCGTCTCATGAAAACCTTTAAATGTGACGAGATGAAGAAGATGAAGATCATCAGAGCTTATTAATCGTCTGCTGATCGGTTTACTTCTCGACCAGCATGAATTCTGGGTAAATTATTCTCTTGACTGAATTAAAAACAGACGGTTCAGATCACATGACGTCTGATTGATTTGATCTTATTGATTATTGATTGAAGGCTCTTCATGACGACATGTTCATCTCCAGCTGAAGCTTTTATTGATTATTATTATTTATTGATTTTATCTTTTATTTTATTGATTTTTTCTCTGTGAAGCACTTTATTTTGATAAATGTTCTATAAATAGTTTATTATTAATTAAGACTTTTTAAGCAAAATATTCTCAGAGCGTCACTGGTTGTCGCCATGGAAACACGGTTCTGAGCTCAGAGTTTGTGTAGAAATACATAAATAATACAACTAGTACTACCACTACTACCACCAGTGGTAGAAGCAGAAATACTACTACTAGTACCACCACTAATACCACCGGTTGTAGTAGCAGAAATACTTCTACTACAACTACCACTACTACCATCGGTGGTAGAAGCAAAATGACTACTACTACTACTACTACTACCACCACAGGTGGTAGAAACATAAATACTAATACTAGTACAACGGGTGGTAGGAGCAGAAATACTAGTATTACTACTTTACCAAACTCCAGAGATCGATTGTTGAGTGAATCCTTCTGAAACAAACAACTAAACGTGTTTAAAAGTTAACTGAAGGTCCATTTACTCCCTTTTTTCCTGAGCTTTCAAGTGCATCTCTCTGCCTTCCTCAGTGGACAGACCTCTGCTGATCTGGTAAAAGTCAGTAAGGTGACCTTTAGTTGAGATTTAGTCTGTTTCCAATGTCAAGAGTGAATCTTGTGCTCAGAGTTTATTTATTGTAGTTGTATTATCGCTCATTATTACTGGTTCAGTTTGTCAGATTGTCAGCAGGATTACGGAAAAACCACCGGCCTGATTTTCATGAAACTTGGAGGAAATGTGAAGCATCGTTAAAGGAAGAACATATTGAAGATTGAAGATTTAGAGCAGATTGGACGAAAGTTTGTGTTCTAAGAGAGACGTTCTAGCTCGTCAATGGGTTCTGCATTTCCTGGCACTTAAATAAAAACACTTTGTAAGTAAGATCATTGTTGCTCATATTGAATTTCCTCTGTCATCTTTACTTATGTTTTATTATGTTTTTATATTCACGTGTTATTCTTCGTTTTGAAAAAGGTGCTAATAAAGTTATTATTATTATTCCAATATTAATGCACCATTTGGCTTCCCACAATAAAAGGAAAGCATCAGTAAAGCTTTACTTCTTAGTGAAAAACTTCCTGAAGACGCTCCTCTTTGACTTGTCTCTGCTGGTGTGGTCCTCTGGTAGCTGGGGGGTCACAGTGGGGGGGTCCTGGGCGTCGGGGGGAGGAGGAGGCGGCCCTGGAGGGGGCGGAGTTTGACATCTCTCAGTACCTGTAGTGAGCAGGAAATTACAGATTCATAGACTCTCTCCGTTGAATGATGTGCTAACGTGCTAATATGCTAACGCGCTGCGTCGCCTCACCTGTGGTCCGGACCCCCTCTTCTTCATCCGGGTAGCGGTGCTTGTTGTAGTACGTGTGGGGGGGTTTGGGAGGAGGCGGCCCCTCGGTGGACGACTGCCTCTCCAGGCTCTCATCTCTGCCGTGCGGCCGTTTAGTGGCGGCCGATTCATCCGGAGCCTCGGCCAACTTCTCCAAACTCAGGTTGACCGACGACGCTCTCCTAAAGACACAAGCGGAGCTAACATTTTAGCGATGGATCTAACATGTCGGCATAGTTTAGCACAATGACTGGCAGCAAAGGCAAACTGCTAGCTAGCAGATTTATATTGGTTTTCCAAACCTGGAACCACAGACTTCTGTAGCTAACGAGCTAACACGTTTTAGCTTCAGAGCTATTGTTATCTTCCCTGCTAGCGAACCAGAAACTGATGAGATGTTTTAATACAAGTTTTGGGGAAAGATAAATTAATAGTTAGCCTAGCTTAGCACAAAGACATGAAGCATGGGGGGGAAATTGGAAGCCGAGCAGGAGCGTCATGTCTCCATCTTCAGTAGCTCAAAACCCTGTTGTTAAATGTTGTATCCTGTTATTGCGCATTTGTCTGCAATCTATTCGAGCATCACAAACATCATTCATTCATTTATTCAATTCAAAGCTTCACACACCAAAGCCATGGTGTCATTATCATCACTCTGCCTGTTTTACATTTATTGTCCACTTGATGGTGCAGTGGAGCAAATGAAGCACCACAAAGCTTCGGCCCATGAGTGAACCAATTGCATGGAAAGCTTCAACGCTTCCTGAAGCTTCATCTCGCCATCACTAGCCGTTAGAATGCAGGTTTATTAACACATGAAGCTTTGACTTCACTTTTCAGACCTGGAGGTTGACGCCTGCGCTGCATGTAAATGGGAATATTAATGGAATATACATTTTCAACAGCTTTTTAGGAACATTGTCTTTTTCGGAATAATGGCAAAACCAAGAATATTGAGTGCATGTAAACGTAGTCCTTTAAATATACTGCGTTCAGTCTACAGCTGTTAAATAAACATACCTCTCCTTCAGAAATCCTTTCATGAATGTACTTGATCGGCTGAATGGACCCGAGGCTGCTCGGGTTTCCACCATTCTGTTTCCCACTGGATGTAATTTACTTTTGTCAAAGTATCTCATTAAAAAAAGGATAAAAAGGTTAATTTCTTCCAGCCTCTCACCCACCTGAGCGGTGCCCGTCGACCCCACAGTGCACAGTGTGAACAGGTGAGGTGTGGAAAAGTGGAATTACCTGACGCAGTGTGAAGGAAACAGCTTCGGTCTGAAACTCCATCAAACACTTTCAGCGGCTGACTGGAGTCAAACCGGACGTTCGTCTGTCCGTCAAACACCCAAAAAAACTGCAACGCTTTTGTATCCTTTCTTCATTTTAATAAAATCTGTTCAGTTCTTTAAGAGAAATCAATCAAAGCTGGAATAAAATGACAGCCAGGACAAAATATTGATGAATCAAACATCAATACTTCTCAAATGCCGACCAAAACCACTCGGAGCGAATCAAAGACTGTTAAATACTTCAGTCGTTTTCTTTAAACAGATATTTAGTAATAAATTATTTTGTGGATTTCATGCTGTATTTAAGGTGGTTCCTGTACAGCTGACAACATTTGTCTAATTTAAAGATTATTTCACACTCAAATATCTTCAAATTCCTCATTTTTGTGCAGAAACGTGTCAACAATAAATTTGTTCTTGATACCACACAAGATTTGACCCTCCATGCATCTCAGAGGTTTGGACCATAAACTGTTTATAAGAAGTGAACATAGTCATGGTGACGTCTCTCGTTGGTTTGTGGATGTTTTGAAGCCTCAAGTTCAGCGTTTTGGTCGTCGCCATCTTGTTTTGTTTGCAACCAGTGAACAGGAAGTGACCATATCTGGACTGAGGAGGAGTGACGTAGAGGCGCCGTATACATCTCTGGTAGAGACCTGTCAATCACTGTGTAGCCCCGCCCTAAAGCATACCCTGCTTTATGGTCTGTTTGACTCTAAATGGACCATAATGTACTAAATGAACATCATGCTGTATTGAAGAAGACTTGAAACTAGAGATTGAGACCATAAACTCATATTTACAATGTTTACTGAGGTAATAAATCAAGAGAGAAGTAGAGTCATTTTCTCACAGACTTCTACACAACCAGAGGAGTTGCCCCCTGATGGACACTAGAGATAATGCAGCTTTAACACATGAAGCTTTGACTTCACTTTAAAGAACTGGAGGATGTCTCCTGAGTCGGACACATTTTGTCTTGTTCGGCTTCATTAAAATGTTGAAAGTTTTAAACATGTATGAACAAAAACAAAAACAGCCTTTTAGTTTGGTAGTGTGGCTTGTCCAATAACTCCAGAAGTCAAAAGTTATTGAAAAAGATTCACCACGTTTGATCTAATGATCCATTATTTGTTGGCGTTTCGCCTTTTAAAAAACAACATTTCCACCGTCGTTGAAAACATAACGAGACGGTCGAGCAGCAATCTAACAGCACCATCAATCACATTTATAAGAGACCATCTTGAGATGGATCAAACCAGACGCCATCTTGGCCACGACCCCGACTCAAGGAAAGAGGATGTAGTGTGTGTGTGTGTGTGTGTGTGTGTGTGTGTGTTTACCCTGAGTCATCAGAGTCACTGCTAGTAGATTCAGAGCAGTTTTGGAGTTTCTTCACCCAAAGTAGCTGAAGTTCTTTGTTGGATGCTGAAAACAGGTACTGACTGCCATCCTCCAATCTGTTAAACACACACACACACACACACACACACACACACACACTGTTAAACAACAGAACACACACACTGTTAAACACAACACACACACAACACACAGTTAAACACACACAGATTCAGTCAACAACAACAAAAATCTTCCAGAAAAATGTTTTTAACATTTTAAATTATTCACATAACTGTTCAAACATACAGAACTTGATTTATAATTTTAGAGGAGATCCAAGTTTTAAGATATGAAATGTGTCTAAAAGCACATTTAGATTTGATATGTTAGATGTGATGCTGCAGCTAAAAGAACATGTAAACATATCATCTTCCAGAATTCACTGTATTTATATATTTGTTTTAAATATACAGTATATCACTGGAACACTTCAGGTAAAATAAACATTACTTAAAGAAACATTAAATAATGAAACATGAATAATCTGCAGCTCACATGAGTCTGAAGGTGTTCTCCTTCCTCCTGTAGGAAACGTTCTCTCTGCAAACAGCTCTGTCCACGTTGACCGGAGGCCACCGGGAGGACTTCTGAGGAGACAACAGTGTGTTTAAGTAACACGTTATTAAAGGAGGACTCGATTCAGTGACGCGTTATTAAAGGAGGACTCGATTCAGTGACGCGTTATTAAAGGAGGACTCGATTCAGTGACGCATTATTAAAGGAGGACTCGATTCAGTGACACGTTATTAAAGGAGGACTTGATTCAGTGACGCGTTATTAAAGGAGGACTCGATTCAGTGACACGTTATTAAAGGAGGACTTGATTCAGTGACGCGTTATTAAAGGAGGACTTGATTCAGTGACACGTTATTAAAGGAGGACTTGATTCAGCAGCTTTCTGTCTCTTAGTTTGATAACAACATACGTGTGTTATATTTTAAGTGCATATGAATTCATGAGTAGATAAAATAATAAATACCTGGTCAGCAGCCGCTCTGTCTGTGAACAGGCTGAGCGTCTCTCCTTCCAGAACAGCAAACACCTCCTCCCAGTGATCCAGACCCTGAAGCAGAAGCAGCCAATCACAGACAGACCAGAAACACCTGTCAGCCAATCAGCACACTGGACACGCAGCCGTGTCGTAGGTAAAGGTTGTAAAGACTACTAGAAGAGCTACAGATCATAAAGCTCACAGATCACAGTCACAGGTCGGATCAGAACAAAAGTAAAAAAGGAGCAAATATAACTTCTAGATCTCTGATCATGTTTCTTTTAGCCGCTGATACTAATTATTGATCATTGATGATCCATATTAACAGATACAGATCCCTTTGTTGTTTGATTATAGCAGCTGGTCTACAAGGATCCGCAATATAAAATCATTTCAACGCTCTGAAGTCAGTAAACCATCAACAACTCTAAATGTTGTACTTTTACTTTCTTATAGTAATTTATGGTGTTTTCTTCATCATAAAAACACAATTCAAACGATAAGAAAATAAAACATTATATTTTTATGTCACTATTATTTTTACTGATGTATAATGTTAGATGTTAGGAAGTTAAACAGCTCATAATTCATCTCTAATATCTATTTCATATTCATGTGAAAACTTCTCCTTCAAACTACTGGATTTATTCAAGTTTATCACCAAAACTACATTTTACAGATTACGCATGAACACATCATGATAACATTATAATGTACCTTCAGTCAGTATAATCATGTTCATTGAGCAGAGCCTGAAGGCATCATAATGTAACTGAACTGAACCTCCGTTGGTTAGCCGTTAGTGATGCTGCTAACGTTACTAGCTCTCCTCCTGTTGGTTTACTGATTGGTTGTTAACAATGAAACATTATCAGAGATCAGAGACCAGAAACACATCAATGATGTTCTCACCTTGTTTCCTCCTTGTTTCACTTTGATCTCCAGCGTTCCCTCCATCCTGATTGGCCGCTCGGCCGTCACCTGAACAACATCACAGAGAGGGGCGAACAATCAGCTTTCAGTAATAACTATAAAGTCAGACAGCTGATGAGAGGGAGACAGAGACACAGACAGACAGAGAGAGACAGAGAGCGAGAGAGACAGAGAGATATATATAGAGAGAGTGTTTACCTCCGGTGTGGACTTGTGGACGTTAGCTTCTTCTTCTTCTTCTGCTTCATCGTCAAACTTCCTGTGTCCCTGAGGAGGAGACGCAGAAGGAGCGAGGTCAGCTGATGCCGTCTCCTCCTCTGTGATTGGTGCAGCAATCGGGGGGTCAGGTGGTGGAACCGGTTCAGAATAAGGAGCCTCGTCGCGGAGCTCCGTCGGAGGAGATTCAGGGGGAGAACGTCTTTCTGCAACTGGAGGAGGAGGAGGAGGCGGCTCGGTGGGAGCAACGAGCCCTCTGATTGGCGGAGGCGAGTCAGGTGGCGCGACGGGCGGAGAGATTCTGGGCTTTGGAGCCAGAGGGGGTTTGGATCGAGGACGACGGTCTTTCTCCGGGGAGGAAGAAGAGACGGCGGATTGAGGGGAGGAAGGAGGAGGAGAGGAGGAGGAAGAGGAGGAGGAGGAGGAGTAGTCAGGTGATACAGGAGGACTGGAGGCGTCTTCTTCCTCCTCCCATTTCTTCCTGCCGGTACTGAAGTGTCTCCTGGACTGGAGGAGGAGGGCTGGGCTGAGTGGAGGACTAGCAGACGTCGTGAGGCTGCTTTTCCCGTCCAGCGTAGACGATCTGACGGCTCTGTCCGTCCTCCGGCCGCCGCTGAGTCGACGGACGACGTCCTTGGAGGGGGAAGAGGAAGAAAAGGAGGTCTTTGGATCCAACGGTTTCCTCTTCAGAGACAAAACCCTGGCTGGAGGTTTTCTGTCCTGAAGGTCCGAGTTTCCATTAAGTCTCTTCTCCTTCTGAGAGGAGAAGAAAAAAGAAAACATTAGAGCAAAGACACAGACGTGTTCAGTCGGGTTTAGAGAGTTACCGACCGACCGACCTGTGTTTTCTTCTTCTGTAGTGTGATGAAGCGGTCGCTCTGGGCCTGGATCATGGCCTCCAGGTCCTCCTGTCTCTTCAGGAGCTCCAGAACATCAGACACTGAGTCCTGGAGGAACAAGAAGAACCAGCTGTTTGTGTAAATGTTCCCTTTTTAGATCCATCACATTCACAATAATATAGTTTACAGCTGTTTTGATATTTTCCTCAAGTATAAAAACACATTTTTGTTGCAGTATTTAAACACACGTAGTCGTCGTGACGTTTCTCTTTTGTGTGCGGACGTTTTGAAGCCACGAGTTCTGCGTTTTGGTCGTCGCCATCTTGTTTTTTTCGCAACTAGTAAACAGGAAGTGACCATATCTGGACTGAGGAGGAGTGATGTAGAGATGCCGTATACGTCTCTAGAGACCTGTCAATCACCGCGTAGCCCCGCCCTAAAGCATACCCTGCTTTATGGTCTGTTTGATGCTAAATGGACCATAATTTACTAAATGAACATCATGCTGTATTGAAGAAGACTTGAAACTAGAGATTGAGACCATAAACTCATGTTCACAATGTTTACTGAGGTAATAAATCAAGAGAGAAGTAGAGTCATTTTCTCATAGACTTCTATACAACCAGAGGTGTCGCCCCCTGATGGACAGAACTAAACCACAATAACCCAACTTCCTGTTTCCTCCCGACCCTTTGACCTCCTCACCCCGAAGTCCTCGGCCGTCAGCGAGTTCTCGTAGGAGCTCAGCCAGCGCTCCGCCTGCTCCAGCTCCCTCTGCAGGAGGAAGATCTCCAGCTGTTCCTCATACAGGACTCTGGTCTCCTCCCAGACCTTCTCCACCCGAACCTCGAGCTCCTCCAGCTCCGAGACGTGCTCTTCCACCTGAGGATGGGGAAGGGAAGGGAGGAGATGGAGACGTCAGGTGAGACAGACGGTCCTCGGTGAATGTGGGTGGTCTTACCTCTGGGGACATGAAGTTTCCTCCCTCCATCAGGCACCTCCCTTCCTCTTTGGTGGCCTGTGATTTGCTGAGCTGTCGATCCATCTGGACTCGGTACTCCTGGTGCTCCTTCAGGAGCTGCTCCGGGTCGCCTCCCTCCACGCTGAGTGCCTCCCCTCCAACCAGAGACAGCGTCTCCCTCAGCGAGGCCCTTGAGACACAAGACGGACAAACCGAGATCTTTTAAAATTCTGTTCATATAGGCGGCTCAGGAGGTTAGACCAGGACCAGGACTCCATCCAGACTCTGCTGAGGCAACACGAGGCAGAAGTCTGCAGAGGACTTTTATTTTGATGGGGAAATACAAAGTATCAAAGTATATGTGTAGTTGTTGATCATGAACTTTCGTTTTCAGCTGCTGTTCTCTAGTATTCTTCTTTAATTTGATCAAGTCGAGCTGGAAACATGAAGTCTTGTGTGTGAAGTGTATTTCAACCAGTGCTGGAAGAAGTACTTTTTTGTTTTTGTTTTACTGCAGTAAAAGTACTAATACTACTGTGTAGAAATACTGTGTTACAAGTTCATGTCATGCATTCAATTTTGAAGTATCAGCAATGGTATCAGCATCAAAAAGTACTTCAAGCACCAAAAGTAAAAGTACGTATCATATATCTCATATTACCGTCTTATCCTCATCGATGCATTAATGTGTTCATTGATGGAGTGATTCAAAGACAAATCATAAACTCCCTCATTAAAAACCTTTAACTCTAACATGTAAACAACAATGAAACTAGAATTTTGAACCTGACTTTAACTAAAGTTCACATTTATGTTCTGGAAATGTTTGGAACTTAGGTCAAATTGAATAAGATAATGCCTCATTTGCATATTTAAACGTACATTTTCAGAAAACTTGCAATAGAAAGAACAATTGTCTTAATGTCAGAAACCAACTGGAGAAGTTTCATGGTGAAATCTAGAAGTTCATTTTTTCACCATATTCACATTCACATGTTTGGTGTGTTTTGTTGGGTGAGACGTGACGAGGACCTACATGAGCTCGGTCCACTGGGACCAGTACTTCTGCACGTCCTGGACCTGGTCCAGTCTGGCCCTGCGTTGGGAGGCCTTGTCCTGGACGCTGGTCCAGCAGACCTCCAGCTCCTCCAGCCTCCGGGTCACCGCGGCTCTGGTCTCAGACCGCCGTCGGCTCAGAGCCCGGCCCTCCTCGCGGCTCCTGGTGGTCTCCTCAGAGACCAGGACCAGGTCCCTCTGGTGGAACACGGAGACAACAACATTTACTCAACAGTGTACTCAAGTACAACTTTGAGGTACTTGTACTTTACTTGAGTATTTGCATTTTCTGCTCCTTTATTCGTTTTTTTCACAGAACATTTAAGAAGCAAATAATATTTTCCTTTTCACTTCATTTATTTAACTTGAGTTACTTTGAAGATTCAGATTAATAATACAAAATAAAACAAAATAATTCAGAATGTTTTATTATAAATTAATTTAAAACTTTTTTGATCCCGAGAGGAAAATACACAAACTACCCAGCAGATAAAGTTTATTGTAAACTTTACATACATTTCTTTCTAAACATTTCAGAAGGAAATATTTTACTTTTTATTAATAATAATATTTACTTATTTAACAAAACCTACAGTACAAAGTGCTTTGCAAAGGCAGCAAAATAAACTAAAAATAAAAGAAAGACCAAAAAATATTTGGTGAATAAATAACAATATAGGTTACAAAATGTTAGTTACTTTGCAGATTGAGATTAATAACACAAAATATAATCAACTAATAAATATAAATTTACCTCCAGCGCCTCGTGTTGCCTCAGCAGAGTCTGGATGGAGTGCAGGTCCTGGTCCTGGTTCTGGTCCTCAGAGTCCAGCACGGCCTCCTTCTCAGCCATCCAGCCCTTCAGCTCGTCCACATCGTGGTTAAACTGATGGACCTCCCTCGCCTGCTGCAGGTTCTGGAGGACACAGAGAAGACCGGTACCTGAGTGAAGGTCCATGTTGGCAGATAGCAGCTGGTCTACAAGGATCCAGACTACTTATAATGTGTTTAGAGCTCGTGTTAGGAAGTTAAACAGCTCATAATTCATCTCTAATATCTATTTTATATTCATGTGAAAACGTCTCCTTCAAACTACTGGATTTATTCAAGTTTATCACCAAAACTACATTTTACAGATTACACATGAACACATCATGATAACGTTATAATGTACCTGCAGCGGTGCTGCTAACGTTACTAGCTCTCCTCCTGTTGGTTTAAACACCGATTGGTTGTTTACAATGAAACATTATCAGAGATCAAAGACTAGAAACACATGTTCTACTGAATGTTGGAGGAGAACCATCGTCAGTAATCGTCACTTTAATAAAGTTAAACTGTGTAATGATCTGTAGTTATCTTCTTTTATTATTGTTTCTGCATGTTTATAAATGATGAATGATGAATAACTTTGTCATTCAAATCTTATGTTCTGTTTTTTTAGCTCATTTTGTAACATCTGTCCAGGAACTACAGATGAAAAACAGCCTCTAATATTAATCATATTAATGTGCACTGTCCCCACGAAATGACCCAATAAATAAAAAAGAAAAACAAGCGTGTTGAACCGTGAGGGGGCGAGGTCTGTACAGATCAACACCACCACTACCTGAGTGACACATGAACCACCACAGGTATCAGATCCAGATCCACACCTGTTCTCTGGTCCTGATGCTGCCATTGAGGTTGTCCCACAGCCCACTGAGGGTGTCGTCCCTCCTACGGGCCTCGCCGTCCTGCTGCAGACCTCGGCCCAGCTGCTGCACCGAGGTCAGACGGCTCCGACCCAGACCGGTCACCTCCGACACCAGAACCTCCAGCTTCTTCTGAAGGACCTGCAGGAGGAGGAGGAGGAGGTTTATCAGTCATATAAATCTAAAATTAAATTCTTATTTAAATCAGAAAGTGTGTGATCAAAGAATGAATCAATCTAACTTTCAGGTACTTGTGTGACTCACGTCTACGTCCTCCAGATCTTGCCCGCAGTCCTTGGAATCTGCCAGGGTCTTCTTGGAGGTCAGCCATGTTTGTAGTTCTTTGGCTTCCCTCTCAAACACGTAGAGGCGGCGCTGGTCTTCCAGAGCGGCGCGGCGAGCGACGGAGACTCGGAGAAGAGTATCGAAGCATTCGGGGACGCCTGGGAGAGATTCGCTGACCAGGTGGCTGAGACGGACACACAGAGGGAAAGACTTTATTTTGAGATTCAAATTTAACGACCGCCTCGTTTCTCAGACCACATCCTGAGTGTACAGTAGTTTTAACAGGAGTTTTAACAGGAGTTTAAATGGGTGTTTAAAGAGGAGTCTATACAAGTGCCTACACACAAGTGTCTACACAGGTGTCTGTCTACCTGTTGGGATGTCCCAGGTGCTGCAGCGAGGCTCCTCTCTCCTGCAGCCTCTCCACCGTCTTCCTCTGGTTCTCCAGCTCCACGTCCACAGAGTCCAGCCTCCTCAGCAGGGCCTCCGTTGCCTCCTCGCTCCTCCCGCAGTCCCGAGACTCCAGACCGGCCCGCTGCTCCTCCAACCACAGCTGCAGCTCAGAGACCTCGACACATAAACACAGGTTAATAGTGGGGGGGGGGGGGAATCCCATGATTTTTTTCACACTATGATAGTGAAACTGTGAAATTAAGACGCGGGTCACATGACTCTCTGGTCATTTTACATCCAAAATGCTCCCTCACTGCTGACTTAAGGCTCTTTTTTGGCAGTTTATAGGCAGTAAAACCTCCCAGATGTGCACAATAAACTTTCTACTTTGACTTTCACCTCGGACAGGAAGCTGTGGATTTTGAGCGCCTCCTGCAGGAGTTTCCCCTTCCTCTCCGCCTCCATCAGCAGCTCCTCGTGGAGCCTCTTGAGCTCCTCCAGACGCTCCCGGATGTCGTGAGATGCAAAGTGACGACCTCTGACCTGAGAGCAATCGAGACTCTTGATTTATTATTTAATTCTTTACATCACAAACAGAACAAGAGTTTAAATAGTGAGCGATTGGCTCCTCACCAGGCTATGCCCCGCCTCCTGAACGGCCTTGACCAATGGGGCGCGGCTTGAGATCTCCTGCATCACAGCCTGATAAAACGAAAGCAGGAAGTTGAACCTGTAGCTTGTTAAAACGGCTTTTAATTGGGAATTTCGGCGTCCATATTGACCTGGTGTCTGTGGAGCAGCTGCTGGGTGCTGCTCAGCGAGCTCCCCCATTCTCCAGCTGTGATGGAGGGCAGTCTGTCGCTCAGCCAGGACACCTCCTCCTCCAGGTCTCTGGAGAACTGGAACAGAACCTGCCAGGCCTCCAGGGTTTCCCTCCGACTCTGCAGGGGCTCCGCCAGACTGTTGTACCTGAGGGAGTAGAGTTACTGTTATCGTCACCTGGAAATGTATGTCCTCTCAAATACTACATACCAGAGGTACATGTTGTATTTTATACTGTACTACATCTCAGAGGTACATGTTGTACTTCTTACACTACTACATATCAGACCTGTTGATGGTGTGAGCCACTCTGATCTGGATCTCCTCAGCCAGGAAGTTTCCCTGAGAGCTGAAGCTCTTTGCTGTTTCCACCAGAACCTGATTATTAAAATATAATAAATATATATATTATATTTATATAATATATTTATCGTCCCTCAGATGTACGCAGCAGTAAGGAGACGTCGTGTACCTGGATTCTGTCTCTGTGTCCGTCCACCTCCTCCTCCAGACTCTGCAGGGCCTTCAGCAGCCTGTTGACGGACGGCAGGTCGCTCCCACAGTCCTCATTGGTCAGTTCTCTCTCCACGGAGCCGACGCTCTGCTCCATGTCGTCCAACGAACGCTGGAACTGCAGCGCCTGAACACAACGCGCACGCTTTGATGTTTGGAAACGTTTGTTTGAGCATCTCCTCTGCACACTTTATTCTTTACAGTTCACAGAATGGCTGAATGAATCAGGGAGTTTTAAAGGAACATTGTGTGAGATTTAGTGACATCTAGTGGTGGGGCTGCAGATTGCATCCAACTAAACACCCCTCAGCTAAGCCCCTCCCCTTTTCCAAAACTACGGTGGCCTTCAGGTAAAGAGAGGTATCTTTAGGATGTTATTACTACAAGGAGCTACTCTTATCAATACTGTGCTCTTATTCATGACTAAATGGTTTTAAATACATATATAGCATAAAACAATTCAATTCAGAAGTTATTTAGAACTTAGATAAATCTAAATATTGTTTCTGGAGCAGCAACAGTTGTTTACAACAACAAAGTCTCCAAATAAAGTCATTAATATCTCACTGGAAACTCGTGTAAAATGTCAATAAAATAAAAACATTCCTCAGTGAAGTTTATAAATGATAATAATCAATAATGTAAGAACACAGACAATCAGACTTTTGTTTAAATCGTCATGCTTATTCAACAGATGTATTGATTGAAAATATTGTCTTTTTACTCGTGAATGGAATTAAAATAAAACGTTTCTTTGTGCGTGTGTGTGTGTGTGTGTGTGTCTGTGTACCTGGTAGGCCTCCTGCAGTCTGGTCTTTTTCTCCTTACAGTTGTGGATCAGAGCATCCCAGCTGTCCGTCAGCTCTCTGAGACGAAGTTTAACCTTCACGTCAGCTGATCGACACTCAGACAGCAGCTTCTCCGCTTCCTGCACACACACACACACACACACACACACACACACACACACACACACACAGTACTTATACGACTCATTATACAGAATAATATACATATATTTATATATATATATATGTATATAAATCCTCATAGTCTCACACAGACCTTGGTGAGTGCGTCCACTCTGTAGCGGTTGGCGAGGATCTCGGCCTCAAAGCTTTGATGTTTCAGCAGCTTTGCCTGCAGGTTGGTCGGTTCCCTCCAGTTCTCATCCAGAGACACAGCGTTACGCTCATTCAACCACACACACACCTGAGGAGACACACACACGTTTACCACACACACACACGTTTACCACACACACACACACACACACCTCCAAGTATGGTCTTTCTAATCTGATATCTGTGGATGTGGTTGATGGACTTGTTCATGTTTAACATTCACACACATTTATAAAGTGATGGTGGAGTCCACCAGAATCTAAACTAACACATAGAGTCCAGCACAATAGAGTCCAGCACAATAGAGTCCAGCACAGTCGAGTCCAGCACAGTCGAGTCCAGCACAGTCGAGTCCACTAGACTAGAGTCTAGTCCAGTAGAGTCCAGTACCTGGTAGCTGCTGGACAAGAACTGCTGCAGCTTCAGTGATCCTTCCAGAGCTTTGTGACGAGATCTACTCTGCTGCTGTAGCTGGCTCCTCCTACAGACAGACAGACAGACAGACAGACAGACGAGGAGACACACACACAGACAGACAGGTGAGGAGAGACACAGACAGACAGACAGACAGGTGAGGAGACACAGACAGACAGACAGGTGAGGAGATACACAGACAGACAGGTGAGGAGACACACAGACAGACAAGACAGACAGGTGAGGAGAGACACAGACAGACAGACAGGTGAGGAGACACACAGACAGACAGGTGAGGAGACAGACAGACAGACAGGTGAGGAGACAGACAGACAGACAGGTGAGGAGACAGACAGACAGACAGGTGAGGAGACACACAGACAGACAGACAGACAGGTCAGGAGACACACAGACAGACAGACAGACAGACAGGTGAGGAGACACAGGTTTTTAATAAGTGAATCTCTTGAGTGTGTTTCTTAAAGCAACAGTACACATTGTATCAGTTCTCTTAGATGTGATGATGTCATCTGGTCACCTGACACTGAGCGCACTGCTCTTGGCTCTGATGTTCAGAGAGTCGTAGTGGTTCTGGTGGATCATCTTCTGGACCAGGTCCTCCACCTGGTCCACCTGCTCCACCTGAGACTCCAGAGACTCCTCAAACTGAGCCTGCTTCCTCTGCAGAGTCTCCACCTCCATCACTGAGCTCTGTACCGACACAGGAGGAGGAGGAGAAAGAGGAAGAGGAGAAAAAGGAGAAGAAAATTAGGAGGAAGAGGAAGAGGAGGAAGGAGAGAGAGAAGAAGAAGAAGAATAAGAAGAATGTGCTGAGCTGGTTGTTTTTATTTGATAAAATGTGCTCCACATCAGACGAGGTTCTCACCCCCAGGTCCTGGTTGGAGAGGAAAGCCTCTTTGTTGGTGAACCAGGTCTCAGTTTGTTCTACAGAGACCAGGAAGACCTGCAGGAGGAGACCAGAACCTGATGAACTACAGGAACCACAACACATGCTGACTCCTCCTCCTTCATGTTAATAATGCTACAAGTAAAATCTATCTTTAAAGGTTATACTGTGATATCATTTATTACATTTGTATTGTTTATTATCATCATTAGGAGCTATTTCTTTATAGTATTAATAATATATAATATATATAAAACTAATATAATATTAGTCAGAAACTATAGACGTCAGAGGCATGAAGTGGTGGAGAAAGTACATTTGTCAAAATACTAGTAAAGTACAAGTACCTCAAATTTGTATTTAAAAGTGTCAGTCTCAAAGATATTCATGTATCGAGGCCACTGACGAAGTATTGCAATATTTATATATTTGAAGTATGATCTAAAAAAGGTACAAACCAAACATTTCTTACTGCTGCACCTTCACAATAAAAGCATTGCCTGGCTTTTATTATGAAGTAGTCATAGGAAATGCAATGTGTTTGACACAAATCCAGATATAAATGTACATTCTGGTGTTTTTTAAAGTATTAAAGTAGACCTGCAGGGTCCGGGCCTGCTCCAGGGTTCTGGTGCGGTTCAGCCAGGCTCGGTCCAGTCCGGACTGGGCCTCCTCCAGCTGGTTCAGGTTCTTCTGGATCTCAGCCTTAGAAGCGTGACCCGACCGGATCAGACCAAGACCGAAGACACGGACTGAGTCGATGCGCTCAGCTCGGGCGTCGATCTCCGTCTGAGGAGGAGGAGAAGGAGAAGAAGGATGAGGAGGAGAAGCAGCAGCAGCAGCAGCAGGAGGAGGAGAAGAAGAAGGAGAAGGGAACTACGGTTACACCTGATTTACCGTGTTATAACCAGGTAGAAGTATAAGTACTACAAAGTACTACACAGCACTACAAAGTACTCCACAGTACCACACCCTCACCTTCCAGTCCTGATGCTCCACGAGGAGCCGGTCTGCCTCGGTCCTGGTCTTGGGGAGGCCTTTCTCTGCCATCTCGCTGCTCTGTTTGACGCTCCACTCCAGCAGGAGGCGCTGGTTGGCTTTAAACAGCTGCAGCTGGTGCGCCTCCTGCAGCTTCTCCTTCCTGAGTGAGTCCAAGAGTCACATTGTGATGTTACTTAATGAATAATCAAAGTTTGTTTTAAATGACAGAGGAGGAGGAGGAGGAGGAGAAGAAAAAGAAGAAGAAGGAGAAGAAGAAGGAGAAGAAGAAAAAGGAAGATGAGAAGGAGGAGGAGAAGAAAATAATTCTGCACATGAAGCGTCCCTCACCTGAGTTTCACCTCCTTCTCTAGAGTCCTCAGAGCTTTCTGGACCTCCTTCTGTTTGTTCTTCAGCTTGTCGTTCATCACTGACGGAGCCTTCAGGTGGTCTGAGACCTCCTTCTGCAGGACCTGAGTCCAGAGAGAGGGAGATCAGATCCTCCACCTTAACTTACCTTATACTCTAGAACCTGACGGCTTCAGGTAGATGTTGAAACAAGCCCCGCCCCCACACTCACCTTTGACCTCTCCTGGATGACCCCGGCCTCTCGCTCAGTCTCCTCGTGGCGTCTGATCAGGTTCTCCACGCTGTCCACGTCGAAACCACAGTCCTGACCCTGCAGCAGCAGCATCTGAGGAGACAGGACGGACTTCACTTTCCCGTACGATCATCTCGATCGTCTCGATAGCGTCAATAGTCAAGTCTCGTTAGTGTCTTTAGTCTCGATATTGATAGTCTCGTTAGTCTCACTAGTCTAGATAGCCCCGATATTCTCTCGTTAGTCTCTCATTCGTCTCGATAGTCTCAGCAGAGGATCCGATGAGTAGTTTAACCCTCTGAACCTCAAAACCCGCCGGCAGGATGGAAAAGCATGTTTTATTAAAACAATCGCCAAAACTACACCGTTTATCGTGTAAAAAACGGTCATTATCGCTTCTTCTACTCATGATGGTTCTGTTTCCATAGAGGAGCAGGACTTTTATTTTGAAGTGAAAACAAACACCACAGAGAGAGAAATGGGACGGGATCTCTGGTGTTCAGAGGGTTCAAAGGTGACTGACCTTCTCGTTGGCTCGGTCTCGGACCTCCTCCAGCTCTCTGATGAGGCCGTGGACCACCAGCGCCGCCTCCAGCTTCCTCTTGTAGTCGCTCAGATCTCCGTGAAACTTGCTCCACCTGGAATGAGAGACGTGTCGTCGTTTAGCTTCTTTTAACAGGTGAGCTTCTGCGTGAGCTTCCTCACCTGTCGTTGAGCTTCCTCACCTGTCGTTGAGCTTCCTCACCTGTCGTTGAGCTTCCTCACCTGTCGTTGAGCTTCCTCACCTGTCGTTGAGCTTGCTCACCTGTCGTTGAGCTGCTGTCTCCTCCGGCGGACCGTCACCAGCTCGTCGGCGCTCCGTCTCGTCTCAAGTCGAGCCGCCAGTCTGTCGATGGCCGTGATGTGAGCGTCGTCCACCGTCACGTCCTACAGGTACAAGTACACCGTCAGTATATTTATACCTTTAAACCATCCTGCTCTTGTATCCGTATGTTAGGCTTCTGTTAGAGACGGGCCTTTCATTCTATTTGATCATATTTTAGTGTGACGCTTCCCTCTTTTCTGATCATCTCCCGTTTGATTTGTTTAAATTTGTGTTATTGCATCATATTGTAAATACAAACACTTCTTGTATATGTTCCAAATTTCAAAGATTATTAATTAATACATTAAATTACAGATGATGTCGTTCAGACAGAACTCTTTTAAAATGTACAGAACGGCTTTTAACACTTCTGCCTTAAACACTAAGATGTAGATTACAAAAGGTATAAATATATAAATACTTCGGGATAAAAGTAAAGATGAATGGCATCCTGAATAATAAATAATATTATTATTATTATATTATATTATATATATTAATAAATCCCATAGAAGCATGATAGCCGTTTGGTCCATTCTCTTTACTACAAAGAAATCCCATTATACTGTATAGTATTTTTACATGAGGTTAGAAGTTGCAGAAGTTGAGTGTAATTATATTTTCATTTTATTTTGAAAATATGAGCACAAAGCCTCTGGTTTGTAAAGAAGGAAGTAAAAGAGGAAGATGTTATTAATATGACCGCTGCATGTTGCAGTTAGCGAGATAATTTATGATTTTAATAATTTCTCACCCCGTCTCCGGTTCCTCTGAACTCGGCGAGTTTCTTCAGCAGCTGAACTCCGTGTTCATAATCCTTCCCAACATCTCCGACATTAACCATCACCTCCTGCAACACGGAGAGGTCAGAGGTCAGAGGACGTTATACACTGAAAATACTCCAATGACACAGTGTAAATACACTATAAACCCTAACCCATCAGCCTCCTACCTTGTGGCGGATCCAGGCCTCCACGTCCTCAACCTTCTGCAGGAACTCCAGGAAGTCCCTGTTGTCTTCTAGAGCTTTCCCTCGGGTGGCCATGGCCTTCTTCAGCTGTTCCCAGTGGAGCTGCAGGGCGGCCGCGCTTCTCTTCACCTCCTTGGACCTCTGGTGTCTCAGGGAGACCAGCTCCTCACCGGCCTAAAGGCACATAAACCAGGAGGACTTTTGTCCAGATGTTCTGAAGCAGCTGAATAAACTTTATGAAGAGAACGTCTAGTCTCACCTGCAGCACCGAGGCGATGATTTCCCCGTGAGCCAGGATCTCCGCCTCGAACGCCTGATGTTTCTGCAGCAGCTTCATCTTGGCCTGAAGATTGCTGAGGTCGGCTTTCCCGTCCTCCGCCATCTTCTGCATCCGCTCAGACACCCACTCCTCAGCCTGATGGACACACAGACAGACAGACAGACAGACCACTTTAAAGAGAGAGAGACAGGCTCTCTGGACCGTCTCAGAAATTAGCCGCCATTGTTCTTTGGTGTCATTCATTAAAAACATCTTTGACGCCTCCGGAAACTTGGACAAATGCTCAGTTTTCTACTGTTTGTGGAGTTTGATCAGAAGAACAGGATCATCAATGAAAGATAATCACTTAAATAATTCTTTAGCTGAGAACATATTTTAAAGATATTCTAACTTTTTGTATTGCCATTTAAGAACAACTATTTGTTTACAAGAATAGAGACAAGAATAATAAAGAAATGTGGATTCTTTTATTCAATAATTGTCATTTTTCTCAAAAAATAATCAAAAAGAACTGATAAGAGTATCGATAAGTGGAACATTTTTTGTCATATTGGGAAATATAGATGAATGATCGATGCAAACTATCAATAAAAAATAAATGACAAATGAAAAAATATGAATAAGGAGCCGAACTGATAAGAGTAGTAATATCCATAACGATACCCTCGATCGATCGGTCGGTTACCTCGGCGACGTCCCGGCTGAAGATGCCCAGCATCCTGGAGAGCTCCAGCTCCTCCCTGCGTTTGATTGACAGCTCCTTGATGCTGTCACGTCGCTGGAGAAGGGCTCTGAGTCTGGTCTGGACCCGCCCACTCTTCTCTCTGCTCAGCTGTTTCTTCAGCCGCTCGGCCAGATCCTTCAGAGAGGACAGCTGGAGCAAAGAAAAGGGAACGTCACCGTAAAGGTAAAGGCCTTAACGTCCAGCTGGAGGTCTGGTTCCCCTCTGAGGTCTTTGAAATTAAGGCCAGAGTTAACTGACGTAACAATCAGAGGATCAATTTGAACATTAAAAACTTTAATGCATCTAAGTTTACTGGAATCTGATATGAACAGACAAAGCATCCAGTGTGAACGCAGCCTTAAAGAGGCTTTAATAAAACATGAACTAAAAACATAAAACATATTCAGACTACTTTGTAAATACAGTATATAATGTTCTGTTTACAATCATCCTCGCATATTTTAACATATACAAACATTTTTTAGAACAGTCTATAAATTCCCATCATGCACAGCATTAATCTAACACAGGTGATTGGACGAACCATCTGTCAATCAAACTCTTACTGAAGCCAGTCGGGAGAAAAGAGAAAACATCTTTTTTCATTGAAGAAATACTCTTTACATCTGATAGAACTGATGCTACTGTAGCATCTACTCTAACCTCTTTAACCGCCATTGTTGTTTAGAACTCAACCACACACCTAAGCCACGCCCCCTAGCTGCCAGTAGCTCCTCCCAGGACTCTGATTGGTCCAAACCACAAAACACCCACGGGTAAATCTGTATCGTTGTGTCCCACCGCAAAACATTTTAGTTTGTTGTAAAAAGATAATTCTGAATAATTATGTATATCCATATGTAGGAAATAAAAACGAGTCACATTCCAAGAGAGTAAACCACAGAAGAAGAGCAGACCTTGTCCTCCTGCGAGCCGAGCAGCTTCTCAAAAGCTTCATGGCGTTTGATCAAACCCTCCGTCTCATCCACCGCGTTTCCCAGAGTGCCGTTCTGCAACAGGATCTGTGGAAGAGGTTCAGACCAGAGATCAGACTCTCGTGTTTCCTCTTAAAAAAACAAAACGGATGAGCTTTTACCTCCTGAGAGCCGGAGGTTTTGTCCACGCTGTTGACGTCTCTGTAGAAGACCTGCTCCAGGTGGATGCTTTCTAACCAGCTCTGCTTCTGGTTCCACTGGTCCTCCAGTTTGTCCCGCTCCTCCTGCAGGGCCTCCAGCTTCTCCAACACCTGGAGGAACCACAGTCAACAATCTGAACCCCAAAGTAGCTTCGGGGCCTTTTCTGCTCCTTTTTATTGTAATAGAGGAGCAGGACTTTTCCTGCTCCTCTATAAAATGTTGTTGATGAAATATCACAATTGTAAGCTTCGTTTTGGCTGCTTTTTCTGACTGAAGTGCTCGCCACACATGATGTGTTCAAGGACCACCAGAAATAATGGTAATGATGTTTTCTACGGTGTAGTTTTGTAGTTTCTCACCTCCTTCCTGTTGGCGTCCTGCCTCTGAAGCTCCTCCCCCATGTCCACAGCCTGCTGGTAGGTCTCCTGTCTGGCCTCCATCTCAGCCCACAGCTGCTGGTGCTGCGCCAACTGGAGGTCGGCGGTCGCCACGTCGCTGATGCTCTCCTCGGCAGCCATCGCACCGATCAGCTGACTGCACCACAGCAAGTAGTCCTGCGCCTGGAGAACGACACAAAGACACACGAGACGTAAAGCGTGAAGGGATTATTTAACGTTTCCGTCTATCTGTCCGTTCTCACCGTGTTGAGGAACAGATATCTCTGACACGCCAATTTTAGCTCCTCCTCCCTTCTCTCAGCGTGGAGTCGGAGCTCCTCCCACCGTTCCACCACTTCCTGCTGCACTTCCTGCAGGCGGAGCTTCAACTGAGGCGTGCAGAGGTCCAGGATAGAGTCCACGGTGTCCAGTTGCTCCTGCAACTACACACACATCACCAACTGTCAATCAGTGTGTAGCCCGCCCTAAAGCATACGCTGCTTTATGGTCTGTTTGATGCTAAATGGACCATCATTTACTAAATGAACATCATGCTGTATTGAAGAAGACTTGAAACTAGAGATTGAGACCATAAACTCATGTTTACAATGTTTACTGAGGTAATAAATCAAGAGAGAAGTAGAGTCATTTTCTCATAGACTTCTATACAACCAGAGGAGTCACCCCCTGATGGTCAGTAGAGAGAATGCAGCTTCAACACAAGAAGCATCTTCTCTACCTGTTGCTCCGTAGCAGCCAGCTCGTGGAGCAACGCTTCATGCTTCCTCAGCTGTGACATCACTCCTCTCAAATCCTTCGCCACGTCATCGGGGATGCTCTTCTGTCGCTCCTAGAGAGAGAGAGGGAGGAAGGGAGGAGAGACTCTGAGGGTTTTTAACTTCAACATGTGAGCATGTGATGTTCCGGTAGAGAGAGGTTCAGTAGAGAGAGGTTCTGTAGAGAGGTTCAGTAGAGAGAGAGGTTCAGTAGAGAGAGGTTCTGTAGAGAGAGAGGTACAGTAGAGAGAGCGGTTCAGTAGAGAGAGAGGTTCTGTAGAGAGAGAGGTTCTGTAGAGAGGTTCTGTAGAGAGAGAGGTTCTGTGGAGAGCGGTTCAGTAGAGAGGTTCTGCAGAGAGGTTCAGTAGAGAGAGGTTCTATAGAGAGAGGTTCTAACCTGGATGAGGGTCAGAGCATCGCTCAGGTCTCTATAGAAGCGGTGACACCCCTCGGCTCTCTGCAGCCGATCCTGACGCTCCCTGGCCACGCTCCTCAAATCCTCCCAGCATGCACTGCAAACAAACGTCAAAAGTTAAACACAAAGCTCACTTCATCTCCACACAAGGAGGAACATTTAGAAATTGGCAGCAAGTCATTTGGGTGGAAACAGCATGATGTCGTCAGCACAAAGAAAACCTTTAGAAAATGATCTGATAATGTAAATATGAAGCTTTCAAAGAGTTAACATTTTTAAATTCATCTGCATTTTACTGGTCAAACTACCTACCGTCCCTACACCTGGGCGTGAACACCTGGGCGTACCTGAGCTGCTGCAGCGTGTCTCTGACCTCAGAGCTCTGAGGGTGCTTGTTGAGGATCAGTCCAGCAGAAAGATCTCTGCAGCTCTGAAGTCTCTCCTCTCCAACCTCAAGCTGCTTCAGGAAACTTTCAAACTTCCCCCGAAGTATCTGAAACGTCAAAAAACACAAATCTTTTACGTCACGGTGACCTTTATAGATTACATATATATATATATATATATATATATTACCAGTACTATAAATAGTAAGTATATGGTGGAGCCGATATTAGATTTCTGAGGCCGGTACAGTTACAATAAATATTTTGGAGTTTAAGAAATGTGGCTGATGTATTGACAGATATAAATAAAAAGTAAAACATAACATATGCACAATAGATTGACAAAGATCCTGATTTTTATGTAGTGATGGAATATTTTAAAAATAAAGCTGGTGGACAAAATCTTTCAAATGACCTGAAACCTGACCTCTGACGTTTACATATCAGGAGACATAATATCAGGGTCCCGTTAACGAGATGTAACCTGCACATGTTGGTAGTCGTTGCCCAGGTCCTGAGACTCTGCCGTCTGTCTCTGCTGGTCCATCCAGTCCTCGAACTCTGAGGACTCTCTTCTGAACTCGTGGAGATGGAGGACTTCCTTCAACCTCTGACCCCTGGAGGGACAGACAAGTTATTAATCGGATTTATAGAAGCTGATCTAAGTGCTTTAAAACACTCCTCCTCTGAGTCTGAACTCAGTCACATGTGAACACAGATTTATACATTCAGCAAACATCAACTTCCAGATAATATCATTACAAATATATTATTTCTAATGTCCATCCAGAATAAATGATCATAAATCTGCTTATGAATCATAGAAAGAAGACACTCTTTAAATGTGCAGAAGTGATCCAGTGATAGTTGTCATTACAGCAGACTTTTAATTGTAATTTAATAACAAATATTGGCTTAAAACACGGGGCTCAGTTTGTAGTACTGAGTATTTGTAGTATCGTACTGAGTATTTGTAGTACCGTACTGAGTATTTGTAGTATCGTACTGAGTATTTATAGTATCGTAATGAGTATTTGTAGTATCGTAATGAGTATTTGTAGTATCGTAATGAGTATTTGTAGTATCGTACTGAGTCAGTATTTACCTGAGAGCAGCCTGGTGCTGCAGCTGCTGGTTCAGGCTGCTGAGGCGACCGTGAGGCCTGCTGAGCTCCTCCAGGCTCCAGTTGTGAACCGCCTGCTCCACCTGGTCTCCCAACTCCTCCACCTCCACCTCCAGAACCTCCAGCTGGCCCTCCAACACCTACAGCCCAGGGAATCGCACACACGTGCTGCTACGTTACACCATTTTACCATTTTGTTTAAATACAGATATTCACAGAAAGGATTTGGAAAATAAGGAACATTTTGGGAGTTCTATCTGTGCAAAAGATGCAAAGAAAAGTTGAGAAGGAGTTCCACAGGGAAGGATCTGAGGTCCCCTATTGTTTTGGTTTAGGATAAATATGTAGGTTTTCCTCATCAAAAAGTCTAAATATGACTACACCTACATTATACACTGTTGAGTTGTGTCATTTTACTTAGGCATCTGTCAATGGTGTCATAACCTCTTTGTGCAGCGCTTTGTGTGGTTGTCCACCAGAAGCTGACTGACTTTATATCCACCTTATAACACATCTTTGTGTTTTCTAACTATATTTTGACCGGGTGGGTGAAGGGTTTTAGTTGTCGGACGTCTTTGGGACGTCCTGCGTCAGAGAAACACTTTTAACGTGAAGCTGCTTTATTTAGTGTTTTTTTTAACCGGTTTTAAACAGCAGGTCTATTTGTAGAAGAAGCTGACTGCAATGAAGACAAAAACTCCCATGATGCCATGCTGCTTCACCACGAGAAAATAAGCAGAAAATGATCCCATATTTAAGAGCAGCCCTCTCTCTCAGAGTGAGTGTACCTGGTGTTTGGTGAGGAGACTCTGAGTGGCCAGCTGGTCTTTGCCGTAGTCGTCGGTGTTCACCAGAGTGAGGGTCTCCGTCAGCCTGGACTCCAGCTCAGAGCAGTCCAACAGTAGCTGGAGGGACGGTGCACAGTCAGCACAAAACGCCGCCATAAACAAAAACGCTTTCTCAAATGTATAAATAAAAAATCTCTCTCACCTGTTCTCTGGTGATGGCCTTGCTCAGGTGAGCTGCTCTCCTGTTGCAGGCCTCCTCTAGCTCCTCCCACTCTGCACTCAGGTGTTTGCACCTGCAACAAAAACATGAAAACAACCAGTCATTTATCGAGGAGATTAGAACATTTTGACATGAAAATCAAAAGAAAAATGTCACAATCGACCCTCGAAGAGAAACACAACAGCACCTCTGGAGCAGTTCTTTGTCCGATTTGCTGGATTTGGCTAGGCCCCGCCCCTTTTCCAGGATGTGGTTCAGGTGTTTTCGGTGGGCGTTCACTTCCGCCTGCAGCTCCTGTGTGAACACATCCAATTTTAGCTGGTTTTTGATTAATAAAACGTTCAGAAGGAATAATAAAATGGACCTTTATGTGTCACAAATCACCCTTTGTTTTGTTTTTTTCACCGTCATTGTTATTCTGAGCTGTTTAGATGAACAAATGAAGAATAATCCAGCTGGCACCTTGTGTTTCTGCATGAGGCTGATGGCTCCAGCCAGAGACTTGTCGTATCCTGTGGATCCAGAGGCAGGAACCCGTTCAGAGATCCAGCTGAGCTCCAGGTCCACGTCGTGATGAAACCCAAACAGCAGCACCGACACCTCCAGCTGAGCTCGACGGCGGTCCAGAGGCTTCTGGAGAGACTTGAACCTGCAGCACAAAGATCCTTCAGACAGCATGTCCCACTACATCTAAGAGAATATCAGCTTCCTCCTTTTCCTTCTCAAAATAAAAGTCCTGCTCCTCTGTGGAAACAGCACCATCATGACTAGAAGTAGAGATAACTCAAACATGTCTTAATGCAGAATAACACAGTTACTATGACATCAACCATAGAAAATTAAAATAACACAAGTGTATTTTCTTTGATAATGTATTTGACAAAAAATAGCAAACAATGGAATCTATATAAACAACATTTTTCCAAGTGTTACGAATGTTGGAAAAAAAATGGAGGCTCCAGGTGCTATATTTGTTAAGTTATTTACATTTTTACATCCTCTTCTTCCAGCCTCTGTGCTCAGCAGCAGTTCAGTCAAAGTTTCACAGAATTAAATAATAATAAATATTCAAATATTGAGGTTTTATTGGGTTTCAGTGGGACGCTTTAGTCCTTAAAGGTCTGAGTGTCTGTATTTTGGCTTTATAGTTTATTATAGGAGCTGAAACTCTTTGACCTGTTGGCGGAGCTAGAAGACAAGTAAAAAAAAGGACCACCAAAGTCATTGGAGTTCATCCTCTGGGGACCGTGAATGTGGACTCACAGAGTGAGGTAGGTGTCGGTCTCACGGAGGATCCTCTGGGAGTCGAAGTGATTGGAGGCGAGGCGTTTGGCCCGGCTGACGATGGAGTTGATCTTCTCCGCCAGCTCCTTGGCCTCCTGCTCCAGCTGCTGATGCTCCTTCACACAGAAACAGTTAAAAGTTATGTATGCATGTTTATTGTTAACCATCACAGTGTAAATAAAGTTTTACCGTTAACCATCAGAGTGTAAATAAAGTTTTAACGTTAACCATTAGAGTGTAAATAAAGTTTTAACGTTAACCATCAGAGTATAAATAAAGTTTCATTGTTAACCATCAGAGTGTAAATAAAGTTTTCAGTAGAACATGTGTTTCTAGTCTCTGATCTCTGATCATGTTTCATTGTAAACAACCAATCAGTGTTTAAACCAACAGGAGGAGAGCTAGTAACATTAGCAGCACCGCTAACGGCTAACCAACGGAGGTTCACTTCAGTTACACTATGATGCCTTCAGGCTCTGCTCAGTGAACATGAGTACTGGCTGAAGGTACATTATAACGTTATCATGATGTGTTCACGTGTAATCTGTAACATGTAGTTTTGGCGATAAACTTGAATAAATCCAGTAGTTTGAAGGAGATGTTTTCATATGTATATAAAATAGATATTAGAGATGAATTATGAGCTGTTTAACTTCCTAACACGAGCTCTAAGCACATTATTATACATCATTAATAATAATGACATAAAAATATAATCTTGTATTTCCTTATCTTTTGAATAGTGTGTTTTTATAAAGAAAAAAACACCATAAATTACTATAACAAAGTAAAAGTATAACATTTAGTATTTTTGATGGTTTACTGTCAATTCAGTTGTCACCAGTTATTTGTTTTGTTAAACTTTTTTGGGATAATAAATGTTTGAAATTTGAGTAACTAAACTAGACCGGACAACTACGGAGCTCATATAAAACGCCCCCCCCCCCACCTTCAGAAGCTGTCGGCTGGAGCGGAGGTCGTGACCTTTGGCAGCGTTGTTCAGCATCCACTGGATGGCCTCGATCTTCAGCTTGGCATCCTAAAGGGAAGGAAACAGGAATGAGCTTCTCTTTGAGCCTCCAGTAGTGAAGTCACTAGTTAAGTGTTCTACCTGCAGCAGCTCCATCAGCTGCTCCTGCTGCCCCGCCTGTCTCAGTTTGTCTCCTCTGTCGGCCATCTTGTCCTGGAGTCTCCTCCACCGGCTGCTGACCTGAGTGGACTTCCTGCCGATGCTCTGACTGCTGTAGTGCTCTTCAGCCAGCATCTCCTGCCCGAGCTGGACATGAACACGCATAATTTAATGCACAGTGTGAGATAGACATCAAATCATTGGACTAGGAACTGGTTTACCTGAATCAGTCGGTCCAGCCAGACCTGGTTGGCCTGCATCTCCTTCTCGGCCGCCTCGTGCCTCTTCAGCTTGGGGAGGACGTTGGTGGGGTCGCGGTACGACTCGTCCTCCGCCACCTTAAACTTCTCCTCCATCCACAGCAGCAGCTCGTCTGCGTCTCTCTGGAACTCCTGCAGACATTTTGACATTTATCTGTTCTTAGATCTTCGGTCAGAGTTTGCTATTTTAAATTATGTCTAAAACTAAGATTTGTCAGCAAAAATCTCTCAACCCTCCGGGGAAAAACTCCACAAACAGAATTGTTAATCAAACAAATAATGTATCATTTGGAATAAATGTGTTGAAATGGAGTTAAAACTTGAGATGAACTTCGATATCTTAGAGTTTTATAGCAACAGATCTGAATTACTTTAACTCTCCCTTTAAAGAAGTTGCTGACGTCTTTAGAGGACAAAATTGTCATAAAACTGCCACAAAAATATATATTTTAATATAATTTTCTACTTTGCCTCCTGAAATGTTTTAATCCTTTCTTTGTAACTCATGATGTATAAATAAAGTGTATGAATATTAAAGTTCTTCTCTACTGTGAGTATTCCACAGAGAAACAGAATATTAGAGCGGAGCTCTATAAAGAATAAATACCTGATATTTCTTGGAGTCCAGCAGCAGACTCCTCCTCCTCTCGCTGCTCTCCTTCAGCTTCCTGTTGGCCTCCTGGACGCTGCTGCTCCTCTCCTTGATGCTTCAAGACCAAAACACACGTCACAACAGTTCAGTTGGGACTCTAACGCTGCTGAGGAAATGTAGATCTTGACGTCGTGTCTCTTACCGTTTGGCAGCGTAGTGTCGTTGGTCAATGAGCTCCCGGCTGCGTTCGGTGAACCGATCCACCCGTTGGTCCAGAGCCTTCAGGAGACCCTCCAGCTCGTCCTGTCGGCCCAGAAGACTGTGGACGCTGTCCACCGAGTCCTGAACCAGCAAACATACAGAATCATCAAAACACACATTAAATTATAACTTCTGATCGTTCTTGTCACATGATGCCACATTGTGAATTGAATTAATAGTAAACACACGAGAAAGACCCCGTGTCTTCATGGACCATGAAAACCCTGTCCCTCACCCCGACGTCTTTGACCCTCAGACGGGCTTCGTGTCCCGACAGCGCCGCCTCGATACGGTCTCCCTCCTGGTTCAGCCTCTGGAGCTCCGCCCCCTGCTCCAAACGCTCCTTCCTACTGGCCCAAAGCTCGTCGAGCTTGGACCAATCGGCTTTGAGTTTGTCCAGGGTTTGCTGGATGTCGACGCCTCCCGTCTTCCCGTTGGACGAGCCCTGCTGAAGAGATTTCCCCAACGTCTCCACCTCCTCACACCTGATGAAACAACATGGTGGACAATTATTAATTATTAATATTGAGCTTTTCTGTTGGGGGGGGGGGGAGGGCGTGATCTTCACCTGCTCCTCTGCTCCTCCATCTCCAGCCGGAGCTCCCGGTGTTGCTCCAGCAGGGCGACGGCCGAGGCCACGTCGGTGGCCGTCTCCTCCTCCAGGAGGCGCTCCTGCACCGAGCCGGTCCAGTGCTGCAGCTCCTTGGACCGCCGCTGGAAGCTCTGCAGGCCGCGGGCCTCCTCCAGGAGGCACTGTCTGTCTGCAGCCTGACGCTTCAGCTGGTCCGCAAACACAACAGCAGAAGTCTGAAGGTGATTTCTTACAGCTCTCAGAGGATCTAATACAGTTCAGTATCTGTGATGATGAGTTAAACTCAAACCTGATCCAGCAGAGCCTCCAGACCCCGGACCTCCTCCACGATGACTGCACTCTCTGCTGGACTGCAGTCCTGCTTCCTGGAACACAAGAAACGCACATCGTGGACTGGTGAAGCAGTTAAACATGAAACCAGCTGGATGATGTTCGGCTCTTTGAAACTTTCCTCCATTAAATGTTACTTTTAAAATCAGAACAGGAAACGGCTGTTATCACATTCACAGTTATCACAGCTATTTTAAATTATGTCTTAAATTAAGATCTGTCAGTAAGAATCTCTCGGCCATCAGGTGGACAAACTCCACAAACAGAATTGTTAATAAAACAAATTATGTATCATTTGGAAGTAAATGAATGGAGTTAAACCTTTAAACCTCTCTTTAAAAAAGTCTTTAGAGGACAAAAATATATATTTTAATATTATTTTCTACTTTTACCGAGTTAAATCTTTTAACTAACAGATCACAGTTACCAAATATTAATTCACGTAGAGAATTGTAACCCTTTAAATGACAGTTTGAATATATGATGATTTTACATTTTTGTCTTGAAGGGTCGAACGTGTCTGTATTTTGGCTAAAGTTTATTATAGACTTATTATAGGAGCCGAGGTTCATTGCATTGACACAGCAAACATTATGTAACAATTAAAACATATGAATATAAATTGAGGGATATTTAAGGTTTCATGAGACAAAAGGTGATTTTTTAAATTAATGATATCAAATCTTTGCATTAAACTTCTACAAAAGTGTAGAAGTGTTTTCGTTAAACCACTGAGGTTACTGCAGTCTGGATCAGTAGCCCGTACATCTTGGCGACGCTCTTCAGGTAGGCGATCTTGGCCTCCAGTGTCTGGATATCTCTGAGGGTCTGGGTCTGGTTCTTGTCCTCGGCCATCAGGGTGAAGGAGCTGCAGCCCGCGTCTACGACGTTGAGGCCAGACAGCTGACCCTGCAGCTGAGCTTTGGCCTCCCGGCAGCTCAGCAGGAAGGACTGAACATCTGCCGTGCTCAGCAGCTCGTGGCCCTTCTCCTCCTTCAGCCGCTGGATCCGATCCCACCTGCAGACGCCAGGGACCAGGAAGAGACCAGAGTCCAGGTTAGGACAGGTGGAACCGCATCAAAGATCATGAACCAGTTCAGTACTCGTTAGTGTCACTTGAGATATTTGTACCTGTTGGAAACTCTCCTCTGTCCGTCCAGGATCTCTCTCTGTTTGCTGTGTCGGCTCTTCACCAGCTCCTCCGCCATTCGGATGATGTCTTCCAACTGGCCACGCCCACTCGCCAAATCAGTCAGGAAGTTCTAGAACAGGCAGTCAAATCTCAAATTTAAATATATTTTACTTTGAAAAAAACGGTCGATTTGACTTCACGTGGTTTGAATATTCTAACATTTTAAAAAAACTGTTCATCAATATTTTATGTGACGTTATTTCAATTTCACTACAATATTCAAAAAGTTGTATTTAAGTTGCTCATAATCATTGACAACAAAAATTAAGATGCAAACAAATAATAAGAAAGAAATTGTTGTACTAATTTAATAAATGAATCCTTCAAGTTAGCGACTGTGGCTAAGTGGAGAGCAGGGCCGTCCTTCAATCAGAGGATCGACAAGATATAAATCCTCCACATTCTCCAACTACAACAAACCAACACCACAACAAAATAACAAGAAAACATCCTTTGTTGATCAGATTGTATCTATTTGTAAAAGAGTTAACTGAAGCAGTCGGCACTACATCCTGTGAAGTAGTTAACGTTAACCATCACAGTGTAAATAAAGTTTTTCCGTTAACCATCACAGTGTAAAGAAAGTTTTAACGTTAACCCTCACAGTGTAAAGAAAGTTTTAACGTTAACCATCAGAGTGTAAAGAAAGTTTTACTAACTCAGCAGAACATGTGTTTCTAGTCTCTGATCTCTGATGATGTTTCATTGTAAACAACCAATCAGTGTTTAAACCAACAGGAGGAGAGCTAGTAACGTTAGCAGCACCCCTAACGGCTAACCAACAGAGGTTCACTTCAGTTACATTATGATGCCTTCAGGCTCTGCTCAGTGAAAATGAGTACTGGCTGAAGGTAAATTATAACGTTATCATGATGTGTTCACGTGTAATCTGTAAAATGTAGTTTTGGTGATAAACTTGAATAAATCCAGTAGTTTGAAGGAGATGTTTTCATATGAATATAAAATAGACATTAGAGATGAATTATGAGCTGTTTAACTTCCTAACACAAGCTCTAAGCACATTATTATACATCATTAATAATAATAATCAGTAAAAATAATAATGATAGTACAAATACAATCTTTTATTTCCTTATCGTTTGAATTGTGTGTTTTTATGAAGGAAAAAACACTATAAATTACGATAACAAAGTAAAAGTATAACATTTAGTATTTTTAATGGTTTACTGACTTCAGAGCGGTTGAAATCATTTTTGAGACGGTGACGAAAAATAATATTCTGGATCCTTGTAGACCGGAAAGACCAAAAGTTCTATCTGCTACCGTTTTTCTATTGTTCTGATCCGATCAGTGAGTTTTATGATCCGTTGCACCACTACTCTGATGTGTGAAGAAGTTTTATATATTTTCAGAGAAACACTTTTTAACAATCTTCACCTCGTATTTAGCCTGAACGGCTCCCAGGTTGTCTGCGTCGGTGCTGAAGGAGTTCAGGACGTTCTCCTTGTCCTCCATCCATGACTCAAACTCCTGACAGCCGTTGTAGAACCGATGCAGACGCAGCGTCTCCTGCAGACTCCTCGTCTTCGTCTGCAAAACAAAACAAACCAGAAAATCTTAATTTACTGCATCAATTTCCTCCAGACAAAACTCCATTTCCCAGGCTGCCCCTCTCTTACCGTGACCAGGAGGAACAGGGAGTTGTAGTCCCGGTCCAGCCCGGCCTGCGTGCTCTCCACCGTGTCTCTCTGGTACTGTGGGTCCGGCAGCCATGTTGTCTGGATCTCGGCCGTGCCGCGACGCATCGAGCGGCTGCGCCTCGGACGACTCGACTTCCTGCTCGGGCTCTCTGGCACGCCATTGGCCGAGGAGGTGGGAGGAGCCTGAGCAGAGTGAGGGAGAAAAATTACTTATTATTGATCTAAAATGACTCATGACACGACAATGACATCAAAACATTCGCCTGATAATGCTCCATTATTAACAACAAAATCTGTGCTGGAGTCTACAGGAGGAAAGCTAGCTAGCTAGCTAGCTGCTAGCAGCACAGTCCTGCTTGGCTAAAAAAAATTAGTATTGGTCGAGAGCAGATTATAACGCCATCATGTATGTGTTCAAATGTAATCTTGTAAAATGTAGTTTTTTGGCGAAATTAATAATGAATCTGCAAAAAACAATATGCAAACGGTAATAAAGTAGTTTTGTTTTTACCACGGTATCGACTATATTTCTGGTGTCGTGACATCCTATTTTAAAGCCTAAAGACTTTAAAATAGGTGTCTGATAATTGATCTAATTTAAATGTTATTGATTATTGACCGTACGGTGGCTGGCAGGAGACTCAGGTAGGTTTTGGGGACGAGCTGCTGGTTTCCTCTGGCGTCTCTGGCCAGAACTCGGTCTCCGTCCGGCTCGGTGCCGACAACGGTTACGATCTCGTTACGATCCCACGGAAACTGACCTGCAATCAGTTTAGTTCAAAGTACATTTAAAAAAGGAAAAGTTCAAATAAAAACAAAATACATTCTATGTAAGACTCACCTCCTGAGGCTCTTTCAGTTTGCACTGATATACTAATGCTCCGTCACGCCATTCCAGAGAAAAACTTACATCCACTGATTTAACTATTTTCTTTTTTAAATATCGACCACCTGAAGTTACTTTTCCTACCAGTTTTACAACATTATTAATCTATTCTTGATCTATTCCAATTTAATATTAATAATAATATTAATATACATTATGAATATTTTTTGATTACTATAAATAATATTCATAACCAGAAAATACAACAGACTTGATCAAATCAGATAAAAATAAGACGATATAGAACAGATATACATATATGCATAACTTAGATGGAAAATAAAACCAACTGAACAATAATAATAATAATATTATTATAAAAAACTCAAAAAGTATTTTGCGGTCCATCGTGAAAACTAATCCCAAAAAGATTTTACTGACAGGAAATTAAACAAGAAATAAATTATTGACATGCACCTGGAAGTTTACTGACCAAACATCCTAACTAAAAAACTAACGTCTAATGTTTGTTTCCCATCATGCACTCCTGCAGACCTCCAGTACCTCTGCTGTATCTGAAGCGGACCTTGGCCTTGCTGTCATCACTCCCGGAGCCCCTCCCTCCCCTGGCGCTAGATGGCGGTGATGTCACCGCTCCTGGCGCCTCCTCGTCTCCGGAAGAGTCGCTGCATTGGATCATCTTACTCTGCTGAGGCTCCGTCTACACAGGAAGTGAGTCAGCGTAATTTTTTAGAGCTCTTGTGGACCGATATGCCGAGTTTTGATTCGAGTCCGGTACTCACAGTCAGAGTCGTTAGCTGGGCGGCGCTCCTCGCCTGCTCCGTCAGTCTCTTGATCTCCGAGGCGTAGGCCGCCATCTCCCTCTCCACCCGCAGGTGGCGCTGCAGCAACGCCGCCGTGCTCGACTCGTCCTTCCCATGATCCTCGCTGGTCAGCAGCGGTTTCCTGTCGCCCAGCCAGGAGTCGGCCTCCGCCACATCCGCAAAGTACTGAAAGGTGGAAAAAGGAGGTCTGAGGATCTGGTCCTCCTAAACCACAACCACGCTCAACAACTGTAACTAGGATTGTGGTTTATGGGGACACGGCAGGAAGCTCAAAAGAACACGACCACGAATCCTGATTGGATGATCAAAACACCTCATTGTGACATCTACACAATATTTCTATACATTTTATAATTAATAGGTGAAATATTGTGAAAACAAAGAAATTAAAACACAAAAGAATAAGTAATAAATTCTCAATGACCCGAAGGAAGCTCTAACTGCTTTTGGCTTTTATATTATATTATATTATATTATAGGATTGATAGATACAATTTTATTTTATTTTAGATAAAATAGATAACAAATAACATGGTAAAAAATATTAAATATAAAAATTCACAATATATACAATAAAATAGAATGATATTAACTAAACAATGGTGCAAAGATTTAACCAAACAAACAGTATAACGGTGTTATATACTTCCACAAGGCCTTAAGAATAAGGCTTTTGTTTGTATTTCTTCCCAAAGAAGACGTGCTAATCAATAGCCTAGCTACAAGGCTAGCTACTTTATTCATCACACTAGAGGGAATGAATAAACTCGAGGCTTCAAAACGTCAGTCCACAAACCGATGTGTGACATCACGATGACAGACAGATAAAACAAACTTTAATATATATTAAAATGGATAGATGGCGTTTCATTGGTCACCTGCTTGATGGCGGCGGCGGCCTGCAGTCTGTCGCGGCGTCCCGTCGCCTCGTCGGTCAGGCGGCTCCACTGCTTCTTCAGGGTTCGGATCCACTTCTGGACGGCTCGCTGGTCCGGCGGACTCTGTTTGGACAGCAGGTCCTGACCGCGACCCAGAACCCCCCGGTACAGGGTCTCCTGGGCCTGGAGCTCTGCCTCCAACGCCTGACAAGGAAGTAATTCAGATTAATGACACAAAAATGCAACAAATCAATATGAGTTTTAGTTTATTTGTAAAGATGAAATCTTCCACGTCATCATTTATTTAAATCCTTAATTTTTGTGGTAAATAAAACTCATTTAGATGTTGCAACGGGCCACTAAAGGCAAATAAATAAAGTAAATAAATACAAATACACTTGACATATCAAGCCATGATAAATAAATAAAAAATGTTCTTATTTTTTTATGTATGAAATATGCTCTATAAATAAACTTTTATTTAGTAATTCACCAAAGTAATTCAGATCAAAGGCATTATAATAACAAGTTTTTATTCGATGTAAAATCAAGAAAAGTTCTCTGAAAGTTTTGTTTAAGTATTTAAGAATCAAACGCATGAAAAGTAAAGTGTGAACAAGAAGAAACTTTAACTGAAGAAATTAAATAAGTTTAATGAGCATGAACATTTTTATTGTTGTTATTACTATTATATTTGTTCCCCTGATGTCGTGTGTGTGTGTGTGTGTGTATTAGGTCCATCTTGTGTGTATGTGTGTGTGTACTACCTTGTGTTTGTGTTGACTCAGCTGGATGTGGTTCAGGTCTCGTCCTAGTCCGGCGGTCTGGAGCCTCAGCCAGCGTTCATAGAGCCAGAACTCAACCTCCTCACAGTCAGAGAAGAACTCAAACAGCCTCAACTGAGCCTCCAGCTGTCTCCTCCTGATGGGGCGGAACCAATAGAGGAGAGGAGGAAACAAGAGAAGAGAGGAAAACAAGAGAGGAGGAAACAAGAGAAGAGAGGAAAACAAGAGAGGAGGAAACAAGAGAGGAGAGGAAAAGACGTAAGAGAAGGAAACAAGATGAAAGGGTAAAAGGAGATGAGAGGGGAGAGAAGGAGGAAACAGGAGGGTAAAGGAAACAAGACAGAAGAGGAGAAGAAAGACGAGGAGGATACAAAAGAGGAGATGAGTGGAAAGGAGAGCAGATGAGGATGCAAGAGAGGTGAGGAGAGGAGGAAACAAGAGTGGAGAGGAAAAGACATAAGAGAAGGAAACAAGATGAGAGGGTAGGAGGAGACGAGAGAGGAGCGAAGGAAACAAGAGAGGAGAGGTGAGGAGTGATGTATATTCATATATTAATATATTTAGTAAACGGTCTGTTTCTTAATTTTTATCCATAAAGTGAACAGAAGTAAACCTGCTGCTGCTGAGAGAAACCAGAGATCTGTACTGAGAGTCCAGAGCTCTCACTCTGCTCTGAATGTGAGGAACGTCAGTCTGCTTCATCTGAGAGGAAGAAACACGAGGACCTCCTTTAAAAACACCTGATGGGATGCTGATATATTAACATAATCAATATGATGATATATTAACTTAACCAGTATGATGATATATTAACATAATTAATATGGTGATATATTAACATAATCAATATCTTACCTTCATCGTCGTGATGGTTTCTCCGTGAGCTGAGATCTGAGCTTCCAGGAGGTCTTGTTTCTGAAGGAGAGACTCCGCCTCCGCCAGCTGTTTACCCAGTTCAGAGGAACTGGCCTGGGACTGGGAGACAGGGGAGAGATGGAAAAACATGTTTATTTAGATAATCACAAAAACTACACCGTTTATCAGAGACAGAAGCTGTAAAAACTCTCATAATTGTCAGATGTTCTTCTTTCTGACGGTCCTTGAACACATTATGTGTGACGAACACTTCAGTCAGAAAAATGACTACATGCATTTATTTTATTTTGTAAACGCATAAATTTCCTGTTCCTGTGCAGCATCCTCCTTAATAATTAATAACAACAATTATTGTTATTGTTATCATTATTAGTGTCAGTGTGAACTCACCTGTAGTTCTTTCAACTCCTGGGAGACGAGCTCGATGGCTCGGAGGATGCTGAGGTTTTCAACTACGTTTCCCAGCAGCCCCCTCTGCTCTTGGAGCTGCTGCAGTAGGTCCTTCCATCGATGGCTAATGTTCTCCTCTCTTACAAACACAGAACACAAATATATTATTATATATATATATATATATTATATATATATATTAT